AATGTTTCTCTCTCTGCCTTCCTCTCTCTGCCCTGGCCCAGCAGTTAGAGCATCGGCTTGCAGACCAGAGAGTCTCGGGTTCGATTTCGGTCAGGGGCACGTACCTTGGTTGCAGTTCGTCCCTGGCAGCCAATTGCTGTGTCTCTCTCACATCAATGTTTCTCTCTCTCTCTCTCTTCCTCCCGCTCTACCTGAAGATAAATGTAAAAATATCCTCGGGTGAGGATAAAAAAATAACAAAATCAATAAAAACATGTTGGAAAAAAGAAAATGACTAACAAACCGCAGCCAAAAATGCCCCGCGGACTTGGAAGTGAGGTAACAACGCACAAGGGCCGGTTCCGGAACGGAAGGTGAAAGGGATTCTCCCCAGAACTCAGGAAAAGCAGACAAGTGACGTGGATGGGGACACGAATCATCCCATGTGCATATATGAGAAAACACAAGACAACATGAATTAGCCGGGGGGGGGGGTCACATCTCCATGTTAGCAGAATAGAGTAAACCCCTCTGTTACTTAAAATAATAATAACAGTATTCATTACCTTCTCCTAGGTACTTAGGTAAACTACTGGTCTGAGACCACTTTGCTCACGAGGCTTAAGGTTTTGGGGCCTCCAGCTTGGGCTGCAAATCCACGTGAGGGCTGGTTACGGTTAGAGCTTCTCAGAGTTAAGCCTGCACCCCAGATCTATTCTGTGTCACGTCAACTTCCCTTGAAATTCCCTGTTGTGGTCGGGAAGGGCAGACTTAGTTTTGCTTCACCCTCCCCGGAGGTCGGTGCGGGCTGAGCTCTGACAGCCGGGCTCGGCCGCGGACTCAGGCCGCCTTGGCAGGGGAACACAGTGTCTGCCTGGCGCTGGTCCTGGCTTCCCAGCCCTCCTGCAGAGTCCAGTGGCTTTGAATAACTACCCTTTCTGCTCAGATCAGAAACCTTACACCAGGGAAAGGCAAATTCAAACCACAGTGACAGAGACCCTACACACACACAAGACGAGGGGAAACGGAAATGCCCCCCGTCTGCCGCTGCCGGAGGGAGAGGACTGGTTGAGGTACCTCGAAGGTACCACTTCTAGTCCATATTCTCCAAACTATAGCTCGCGGAGACCCAACAAATGGCAGTACATCCATACAAACACCTGAGCTGGGACAGCCTGTACCAAGGTGGATGACCTCGAAAACAACCAATGTAGGAGGAAGAACACTGCAGAAGGCTATGTATAATATACTATTTACGTACATTTAAAGACACAGCGCACAAATGGACGAGGACGGGTAAACTGAGGAAATCTGAGAAAGTTCGGTGGATCCTGTCAATGCCCCGTGTCCTGGCTGTGACATTACACTGGTCCATGGGGAAGAGTGTAGCATTTGGGGCAACTGGGCAGAGTGTCATTTCTCACACCTGCATGTGAATCTGCAATAAAAGTTTCATGTAAAATACTAAACTAAAGCCCGGCTGGTGTGGCTCAGTGGATTGAGCGTCTTCCCATGGACTGAGAGGTCCTGGTTTGATTCCCAGTCAGGGCACATGCCCTGGGTTGTGGGCTCCATCCCCAGTAGGGGGAACGCAGGAGGCAGCCAATCAATGTGTCTCTCTCACATCGATGTTTCTATCTCTCTCTCCCTTTCTCTCTCTGTAAAAAATCAATAAAAATATATTTAAAAAGAAATAAGTAGCCCTGGCCACTTTGGCTCAGCGGTTAGAGCATCGGCCTGCGGTCCGGAGAGACCCGGGTTCAGTTCCCGCTAAGGGCATGTACCTCGGTTGCAGTTTGTCCCCGGCCCTGGTTGGTCGTGCGGGTGGCAGCCACTCGATGTGCACCTTTCACATCGATGTTTCTCTCTCTCTCTCTCTGTCTTCCTCTCTCTCCCTCTCACTCTATCTGAACAAAAAATGGAAAAATGTCCTTGGGTGAGGATTAAAAAAATAAAATTAAATAAATAAATAAATAAATAAATAAATAAATAAATAAATAAAATGCCAAACTACAGCCGGGCTGGTGTGGCTCAGTGGTTGAGTATTGACCCATGCACCAAGAGGTCGCTGGTTCGATTCCCAGTCAGGGCACCTGCCCAGGTGGAGGGCATGCAGGAGGCGGCCAACTGATGTTCTCTCTCATTGATGTTTTCATCTCTCTCTCCCCTCCCTCTAAAATCAATAAAAAAATAAAAATAAAAAAAACCCAAACACGCCAAACTATATATATATATAACTGATAGACACATGATGGCTTCTTCTGAGGAGGAGCAGAACAGAATTTAGGGGAGAGGAAGGGGACTTCAAATCCCCGTTTTTCCTTAAAAAGAACATGTGAAGCAAATGTGATACAATGTAAGCATTTAAACATCTGGATGCTGCTGGGCTGCAGTGGCTGTTGGTTGAGAAACAAATTGATGTTTCTCTCTCTCTCTCCGTGTCCCCTTCCTCTTTCTCTGTAAAATCAATAAAACACAACAAAATGCCAAGATGAAGTGAGGCGAGTTTGTCAAGTGTCTAAGGCTTGGAGTCAGTGCTCGGTAAAGCTTAGCGCCCCGGCAATTACTGATGCTGTCCACCAAGCAGGCTGAGGTTGGCTGGTGTCTGGAGGCGTGGCCCCATATGCTGTGTTAGTTCAACTCCACCCCGATTCCTCCCTCCTGCTGATCATCAAACTCCACTTTCCCTCCTCAGGGCAATCTTCTCCAGGACCAGTGGGTCACTGTCAGCCACCACGCCCGGCTGGAACCCTCCACAGCACGGACACTGGCAATCCTGCCTCCGGGTTGTCTGAGGACTCGGAGCAAACACGTGGGAAGTCTAAGCGCCTGGTAGCTAGGTCTCAGGGACCGCAGGGTACAGCCAGGTCCAAGGCAGAAATGCCCCCCACCCTAGGGACTCCACAATCCTGTTCAGTTGGTGGTACCGACCTATGTAACAGCTGGGAAACGGGCTCAGAGAACGTGGAGAATGTGTGAGGTCCCTTGAGTCATGAGGACTGTCTGATTCCTGATTGCACCCCAAGTCCAGTGTCTGTGTTCTCTCCTCTCCCGGCTCTGTGACCACAGCGACAGCCCCTATCCTGGGAAATGACTGGCTCATCTGAGGGCTTCCCACTGGGTCAGGAATGTGGAAGGAAAGGAGGAAGCAACCCCACTCATTAACGGGAGGGTGGGCTGAGCGCGCCACCTGTCGGCGAGTCGTCTCTCCTGTCCACTTGTTACTTCTGTCCACCATCCTGCCACCCAAGGGAAAGATTCACCCACGGAAAGACCAAGGCCCTGTCAATCCAGCACCCAGCCAGCTGGCAGGACGGTGATGGCTTGCAGAATGTGTCTGGTAAAAATACTTGGTTGTGGTAAAGTATACGCAAGATAAAATTTAACCATTTTTAAGTGCATGGTTCAGTGGCATCAAGCACATCCATGTTGTGCGAGCATCTCCACCATCATCTCCAGGACTTTCCATCTCCCCAAGCTGAGGCTCTGTCCCCATGAAACTCTCACTCCCCATCCCCACCCTGCCCCTGGCACCCGCCCTTCTGCTTTCTGTCTCTGTGACTCTGACTCCTCCAGGTCCTCATAGGAGTGGAATCACACAGTATTGATCCCTTTGTGGCTTGTCTCGCTCATCATGTCCTCAAGGTCCATCCATACTGCAGCAGGTGTCAAATTGCCCTTCCTTTTTAAGGCTGAATAATATTCCGCTGTAGGGATGGACCTCACGTTGTCCATCCATTTATCCGGGTGGACACCGGGGGCGCTTCCACCTTTTGGTGGGTGTGAACAATGCCGCTGAGAACGTGGGTGTGCATACATCTGATTGAGTCTCAATTTTCTTTTTTTTAATCCTCACCCGAGGACATTTTTGCATTTATCTTCAGATAGAGCGGGAGGGAGAGAGAGACAAACATCGACGTGAGACACACACCGAGTGGCTGCCAGCCACAGGACCCCAACGGGTCGGGGACAAACTGCAACCGAGGTAGCTGGGTACCTGCCCTTAGGAACCAAACCCGGGTCTCTCTGGACCCCGGGCTGACGCTCTAACCGCTGAGCCAAACCGGCCAGGGCGAGTCTCAGGAACGTTTGACAAAGTTTTATTTGGAACAGTTTCAGATGTACAGAAAAGTTGCAAAGGCAGTTCTGAGTCGTGAATCCTGACGTTAACGCCGCACATGTCACAGCTGAGAGCAGCACTTTAGCGGCGGGCCGCCCACCCACGTGACCGCGCCGGCTCCCGCGTCGAGGGGCGGGGCCTCTGCGGCCGGACCCACGGTGACCCTGAGAACGGGGGGAGCGGGATTCCCAAGCCGCGGAGTGGGGGCGGGGGGACGCTTGGGCGTGTTGGTTAAAGCAATGCTCGATTTCATATACACAAGAGGGTCGTTTTTCGGGTAGTGTCGGCCATCTCCGGCTCCCCAGGCATTCCTTTTTTATTTTGGAATCGTCCACCCTTATGCCGAGTCAGTAGACGAGTCTAAACACCGACACGGGCAGGGGGGAGTTTAGGAAGGTAAGCAAGACTGTTTTTCCGATGGAAGACTAGCATATCACAACCAAAGTCCTTTGTGGAACTGACGTGTTTTGTTAGTCTCATTTTCCGAGTTATGTTTTTGCACAATTCTGAATACGAAGCTGACTTGAGACCTCCCTGCGGCGTCACGAGTGGTTTCGCCCGTCGCCGCAGCGCCCGACGGGAGGAGAACGAGTGGCCGCCATGTTGGGCGAAACCATCCCCTGCCCAAGAGTGGGGACTTGTAGTTCCCACGGAGTTTGTAACTGACCCAAGGAGCTGTGGTGATTGCAGTGGGGCGCGTTCTCGTCGTGGGAGCGCCGCGGTGACCACTGGTGTACACGTCTCTGCCCCCCGAGCTTCCCCGGCCGCGCTGGGAGGCAGCGGGGCGTGGGCACCTCCCCCCGGCCCGCGTCGGACGGCCCGCCGCACGCACATGGCCGGGCCGTAGGCGCGGTGCGGCCTGGGAGAGTCGGAAGCGCGGCGAGGCGGCAGCGGCGGGCCCATGCAGGACGCGGAGAACGTGGCGGCGCCCGAGGCGGCCGAGGAGCGGGCCGAGCCCCGACAGCAGCAGCCGGCCGCCGACCCGCCGCCGGGGGAGGAGCCGCCGCGGCCCGGGGGCCTCGGCGCTCAGGAGGCGGCGGACGGCGAGGACGAGGAGGCCGGGCCAGGGCCTGAAGCGCCCGCCGAGCCCACGGCGGACGGGGAGGAGGCGGCCGGCGCGACCCCCGGCCCGTCCCCGCCGCCGCCCGAGGAGCCCCCTGCCCCGGTCGCGGACGAGGTCCCGAGGGAGCAGGCCCGGGACGTGGCGGCCGAAGCCCGGTCCGACGGGGCGGACAGCGCGGCTGAGGACGGCGGCGCGGCTGAGGACGGCGACGCGGACGAGCCCTCCTTCAGCGACCCCGAGGACTTCGTGGACGACGTGAGCGAGGAAGGTGAGGCGGGGGGGCCCGGGACGCGGGGATCCCCGTGCACCCCGGGGGTCTGCGGGGGGTGTGGAGGTCCCGTTCTCCCCCTGGCGCCCCGCTCAGAGGGAGGATTCGCCGTGAGATCCCGGACTCCTTCCTGTTCTCCGCCGGAAGTGGGGGACAGGATGGAGACAACCAGGGGACCCAGGGGACCCAGGGTCCCTCCAGCCAGGTCCGGGAGGGCGGGGGTGGCGGCACTGAGGGTCCAGCCCAGCAGGACGCACCACGTGCCGCCGGCCTCCAGTGCCGTCCCGGCCGCAGGTGCGGTGCCCATGTCCAGCCACACCTGGCAGAGCTGCGGCAGACTCCGCGGGGCCGGGGGCAGCGCTCCTTGGAGGACAGAGCGCCCCCGGGGCCGCCCTGCCGGGATGTCTGTCTCCCTGGAAGTCTGGGGGGCAGGCCGGACCACCTTCCGCCGGCAGGACGTGTTTCCGGTGACCTGTGTCGATGACAGCTTGCTTTGCCCTGCTTTCTACCCGATTCAACTTCCAGGCGTTGTTTCTGCTGTGAACTCCGCTTCCCACCCGGAGAGCGCCCCTCGCCTCTCCTGACGCGACCTTCCGCGGTCACGATCTCACTGCTGTGTTTGCGTGGGCTTTGTTTTTAGCCGTTTGAACGCCGCAGCCCTGAAGCACGCCAGTGGACTCCTGTGAACAGTGGGGTGGTACATCCAGCACCATCGCAGTAGCGTGCGTTGCTCCAGGGAGAAAGATGTCACGGTGCCGAGCTAGAAAGAGCTTTCTCCTCGCCTTGTGTCTGGTCACACCGAGAGTGGGGCAGAGTCATGAAGGATCTCCAACAGAAGGGAAAAGAAGTGTAGGAAACCAACGTAGAGTTGTCAACGTTAAACGTTTTTTTTTAAATTTGTTTTGATCAGTTTTAGGAAACAGTTTTCAAGGGTACCAGTTGTTGTCACTGACGGTCACACGTTATCTCAGAGACAGGACATTCTGGCTTGAGAAGCAGGAGGCTACACAGCTGGTGGAGCTGGGGAGGGAAGCGCGCTCCTCACCACCGCATGGACTGCTGAGAAGTCGCAGGGAGACGTGCGCTGGGACCTCCTGCCCAGACCAGCCTTCTCACCACACCAATTTTTGTTATATTTCAAAACTTAAGTTTTGATTTTAAGGCCTACGTTGAGCCTTTCAGTATTTACTGTGCAATGGAGGTTTTCAAAGTGTTTTTTGAGCACACCTAATTCAACCAAGATTTTAACGTGAATTATTTCCAAAATTGCAGTGTGTGACATTCAGGGGACGCTAAGTGAGCACGAGGCCAGCCAGGCAGGTTAGGTGATTGCTGGGCAGGCCTTTCAGTGCACATGTGGTCACATGGTTTTGCCAGTCACCTGTGAGCCTGGTCCTAGGAGCTAGCACTGGGTGGCCTTCGGTTTTCTTGAGGCCCGTTGCTCACACTTGTTTAGTATTTTGTGAAAACTGCCCTGTGTGTGGGGAGCAAAGAGTGATGCTGTGGGTACCACTTCTCTGGAAAATGCAAGATCTTGGGAGGCTCGCTCTCCCCAGTTCCATGAGCTGCAGCGCAGCAGAGCAGCCCCTCGCCCCATGCCTGAGCCGCTCACCTGCTGGTGCTCAGCTCGAGGTGGTGACAGTTTCAGCCTAAGTGTCAGCTTTTTTGGCTCATTAAGTATTATTTATACTTATGTTTGCTACTTAGTTTTGAGAATTGTTTCTATTTCTTCTGGAACCAGATTGGAAATCTGTTCATGTGTAGTTACTACACTTACTTCCTTGCTGTGTTTGGGCAGACTTTTATAAAGAACTCTTACTCCCATAAACAACTTTGACATTGTGGGAAGGAGCCGAATCCACAGTATGTGTAAACGCTGAACTTTTTATTGTAAGCCTTGTAAATTCAGATCAGGCTTAACAGGCCACTTAATTGTATGGTAAGTGAGCTTTAGAAAGAGCCCAAGCATTTGACTCCTGTAGGGAAGACGTCCCCATAGTGTCGCTCTAATCGGCCTCTTTCCTTTTTTTCTCTCTGTTTTTTCAGTTTTTGTTTTTTAAATTTAAGTAGCAGGGGTTTTTTTGTTTTTGTTTTTTAAGGTAACCTCTTCATTGTTATTTATAAAGGATTGGAGTTAATTAAAAGTTGTCTATAACAGGGCATGCCTCTTAAAATTAATAGACTGCTTTTGGAAGACCTTTCAACTTATGGAATATTTCAAACACAAGAGTGAAGAGAATCCATCTTAACTTTTTGTTAGTCCTCACCCAAGGATATTTTTCCATCCATTATTGGATAGAGTGAGAGGGAGGGAGAGTAGAGAGAGAAACATTGATGTGAGAGAAATACATTGATTGGTTGCCTCTCACATGACCCTAACCAGGGCCAGAGATGGAACCTGCAACTTAGGTATGTGCCCTTGTCTGGGAATTAAACCCACCACCCACGTTGGTCTTTGGGCCAACGCTCTAAGCACTGAGCTAAACCAGCCAGGTCCATCTTAATTTTTGAGAATGAAATACAACAAAGATTATTTTTCTGGTATGTTCTGTTTGGGACATTGAAATTCTTTTTTTTAAGCCTCACTGGAGGAAATGTTTTCATTGATTCTAGAGAGAGGAAGGGGGGTGGGGGGGGGAGAGAGAGACAGACAGACATGGATCAGTTGCCCACCATACAGGCCCTGAGCGGGGATGGAACCTGAACCCTGGGTATGTGCCCTGACTGGGAATGGAATGCACTGTGCCACCTTTCATTGCCCAGGACGACACTCCTGCCAGCTGAGCCACGCTGGCCAGGGCTGGCACATTGACATTCCCAAAGTATAAGCAAGTCAGAGTGACAGTTGGGTACCAGAGCACGTATGCATATGGAACAGGCCGCTGTTCTCTGGCTGGGGTTTGCAGTGACCTGCATGCTTCCGCTGGCTGGCGCACCGGTGGGCCAGCAGTGTCTGTCCTCCCTCCTACCGCAGCACCTCTCTTTTCGCAGCTTTCTAGATAAGCTGACTCACTTACACTGAATTTATACAAAAAGATCGAGTTTGCTCTGTTTCTTTTGATACTCATATGACCTCCAAATGTCCATCTCCAGCAGCCAGTCAGGCATTTTTATTAGTTCTGGAGCCTGCTGGTCAGAAGGACTCCAGGCCTGGGGAAGCCTTAGGGTCTGATGGTATTGAGCAGAAGGCACTGAGTCCCTGGGGCAGTCGGCCTCCAGCCCACTTCCCAGGCCTGTGTCCGTTCCTCTCGTGTCTCTTTCCAAGTCATTTTACATCTGTCTTACCTTCTCTTTCCCTTACTGTAGCCTACCGTTTTATGGAAATGAAGCAATTCTAAGAATGTGGAGTACTTAAGATTTGGGTTCTGCGATGTTAATTTTAAAAGTAGATACAGGGCCCTGGCCGGTTTGGCTCAGCGGTTAGAGCGTCGGCCTGCGGTCCTGAGAGACCCGGGTTCGGTTCCCGCTAAGGGCGCGTACCTCGGTTGCTTTGTCCCCGGCCCTGGTCGGTTGTGCGGGTGGCAGCCACTCGATGTGTTCCTTTCACATCGATGTTTCTCTCTCTCTCTCTCTGTTCCTCTCTCTCCCTCCCACTCTACCTGAACAAAAAATGGAAAAATGTCCTCGGATGAGGATAAAAAAAAAAAAAAGTAGATACAGGAACATCATACATTTGGAGTTTTTGCATGTAGTTTATTTTTTTTTAAACTTTTTTTTTCTTTATTGATTTTAGAGAGAGAAAGGAGAGAGAGAGAGAAACATCGATGAGAGAGAACATCAATTGATCGCCTCCTGCATGACCCCCACTGGGGATCCGGCCCACAATCTGGGCATGTGTCCCGACCGGGAATCAAACTGGCAACCTCCTGGTCGAGGCTTAGCCACTGAGCCACACTGGCTGGACTGCGTGTAGTTTATTGCTGTGCTTCCAGCACTGTCCTGGCATTTACGGCGGATGTCTAAGCGCCTGGAGTCTCCCAGCAGCCCGGTGAGATACTGCATCTCACCAGGGACCCCCAGCCTTCAGCTGCATCACTGACCACCTGCCCTCCTGAGCGTGCACGCTCTCTGGTCTCCTTGTCCAGATGCCCATCTCAGCCCCACGCTGTCTTCGGACAGAGACTGTTGGGTGGTGCGTGGTGCTGTCTTGACTGCCTGGGAAGAAATGCCTGGTGGCCAGTCTGCATCGGCTGCAGCGGGCTGGGGAAGGCTTGCCGCAGGCAGTCCTGGCCCACTGGTTCTCTGGTTTCCAGAGAAAGGCCGTTTTCTTTGTTTTCATTCTGCATTCTTCAAAGTCATCACTGTTACTATTATTCGCTTGAAATTTTCCATTATTGCCAGGAATCTGTTGACATGACTTGACTGTTAAAGGGAGTGTGAAGAGCGAAAATCTTCCTGATTCTTTCCAGTGTAAATCTGGAGGCCAGGGCCATGACTTCCTCCCCTCACAGTGCGAGCATCTGGATTAATCATCCCTCTGCTTGCTGGACACGGGGTCCCTGTGCTCAGTAATGTGTGAGCATGTTGCTCAGTCAGTAATTCATTGGACGAATCTCTCCTGGACAGAGTTACTGGGAGATGTGCTCAAAGATCGGCCTCAGGAAGCAGATGGGATCGACTCGGTGGTCGTGGTGGACAACGTTCCTCAGGTGGGACCCGACCGCCTGGAGAAGCTCAAAAACGTCATCCATAAGATCTTCTCCAGGTTTGGGAAAATCACAAATGACTTTTATCCAGAGGAGGATGGAAAGACGAAAGGGTGAGTGACTTTCTCATTGTAAGTGTCATTCGTCTGCGTTTCCCTTGGGGTCAGGGCCCCGCAGTGGTCGCCATGTGGCAGGCGTTCTCACTGGCCGCCTGCCTCATTCAGGTGACCACCACCCTCAGCAGGAGCCCATGGCGCAGTCCTGTGGTCCTGGCTGGGCACGGTGCTGGGGTGCAAGGTGCTTCTTGATTAGGGTGCTGTAAGGTTGCTGCTTAAGAAATCAGCTTGGTGTTCAGATCTGCTGTCAGGACAGTGGACACAGGACACATCCTGGGTAAGGGACCCACAGGACTGGAAGCTGCAGAATGTCAGGAAACTCATTGTGGGGTACTTGACTGATTCCTGGGGTATGCTTTTTTCACGTTAACGTCTCTGAAATGGAGCTGTTTTTACAGTCTAGGTGAAAGTGTTGTGTCATTGCTGAATCAGCAACTTTTTTTCTAGTGTTACCTAAAATACATATATATTTTTTTTACCTAAATACATATATATTGCCTAAATGTGTGTGTGTGTGTGTGTGTGTGTGTATTTATATTTTTTTTATCCTCACCTGAGGACATCTTTGCATTTATCTTCAGATAGAGTTGGGGGAAGATGGGGGAAGAGACAGAGAGAAACATCGATGTGAGAGAGAGACACCGAGTAGTTGCCGCCCACACGACCCCAACCAGGGCCAAACTGCAACCGAGGTACGTGCCCTTAGCAGGAACCAAACCCAGGTCTCTCTGGACCACAGGCCGATGCTCTAACCGCTGAGCCAAACCAGCCAGGGCTAAAAAATATATATATATTTTGATAGAATGGAAGGGAGGGAGGGAGGGAGGGAGAGACACACACATTGATTGGTTGCCTCTCACACGATCCTGACCAGGGCTGGGGATAGAACCTGCAACCCAAGTTTGTGTCCTTGACTGGGAATTGAACCTGAGACCCTTCAGTCTGAGGGCCAACACTCTGACCTCTGAGCCAAACCAGTCAGGGTTGATTCCTCTATTTTATTTTTTTTATTTAATCCTTACCTGGGGATATTTTTCCATTGATTTTTAGAGAGAGTGGGAGGGAGGGAGATAGAGACAGAGGGAGAAAAACATGGATATGTGAGAGACACATCAATTGTTGCCTCCCGCACAACCCTGACCAGGGCTGGGGATTGAACCGCAACCAAGATACGTGCCCTTGACCGGAATCAATCCTGAAACTCTGGTCCACGGGCCGAAGTTCTAAATGCTGAGCCATACTGGCCAGGGCTGGTTCCTTTATTTTAAATGTTGTGGCATTCTGTCACTTGATAGGACAGTTTGTCTGTTTCCTGTCAATTGACATATAGCATTTCGCAGTTAGTCTTACACGGGTCCCCTCTTGAACGAATGTGATTGTTTCCTTGCTCCGGACCTAGGAGTGGGATCGTGGGGTTGCTGCGAAGTGGTGTGGGCTCGTGGCCCTGTGGTCACCAACTCACACCGCAGGCGGAGCGTGCTGTGTGCTGCTCCAGTCTTGTCAGACGTGCTCCATTCCCACGTCACGTAGATGTCAGCCTTGGAGAGGACAGGGAGGAGACGGTGATCAAGTCTGTTTTCATTCAGATTTTGTAAACTACCTAGAATAGTTTTAATTTCTAGAAAAGTGATCAAACACAAGGAATGCTCCTAACGTGTTCTGTGTGGAACTAGGTGGAAGGATACCTTGCGTTATTTGTATTTCGTTATAATGAAACTCCACTGACAGCCCTTCTAACTTTGCCTGTAATACAGCGGGATACGTAATACTTGTGACTTTAGGTTTTGGAACAGCTTTGTGAAATAATTAACGTACAGTAAGCTTGCATAGTTTCAAAGCATATGGTTTCGTGAGTTTTGATGTGCATGTCAGTGAAACTGTTACCACAGTCAAGATAATGGCCGTTCTGATCGACGAGCCTTTCTGTGACTGTGGAGTTAGAACTTGGAGCTTCTGTTAGAATTTTGTTCACGTTTAAGGAACTACTCTGCCAGTGATTTGACTGCCTCAGACCTGGCAGGGCCCAGTCCCGGTGTGGGCTGTGTTCGTGGCCGATTGTGTTGAGCACAGCACCCTCATCTTAAAGTGCATACTGAACATGGCCTCTTTCTCGCTTCAGCTACATTTTCCTGGAGTACGCGTCGCCTGCCCACGCCCTGGATGCGGTGAAAAATGCCGATGGCTACAAGCTTGACAAGCAGCACACCTTCAGAGTCAACCTCTTCACCGATTTTGACAAGTGAGTTCAGACTCGGTCGTGAGGATCTGGATGCGCACCCTGCTGACGGCCCGGGTTCTGGTGGGAGGGGTGCTGCTGGCCCCCCGGCTGGTTCCATCCCTGGTCAGACCCTGCAGGGTCATTTCACGTCCCTGGCCCCTCACTGGCCAGTAGCACCCCTCCACCAACACCCCCTCACTGGTTATTACCAATAAAAACTCATCCTTTCCCTGCTCTGGGGTGGACAGGCAGGGGTGCAGCGCAGCAGGTCCTTGAACATGGAGTTTGGTCGTGCGTTGGCGAGCGCCGGGGCACTTGTCTCAGCCATGCACTTAGCCGATGCACGGCGCGGGCTGGCGTGCACCGTTGTTACTGTTACTAGACCGTTTCTTTTTCTCTGCCAGGTATATGACCATCAGCGACGAATGGGACATTCCAGAGAAGCAGCCTTTCAAAGACTTGGTATGTTGTGTGAAGTTGATGTCTGAGTTGTTGGAAGATGCTGGCCAGCCTCTTGGCTTGAGGTGATGAGCTCCTTGGGAGTCAGAGATGCTGATGGAATGTGTTAACCTCTAAGAGCAGTACTTACAACGCGTTTACTTTGATGGAAACTAGCAGTGCATTCTGCCCGTCTTCTGTGTCTTCTCCAGGGGAACCTGCGTTACTGGCTGGAGGAGGCGGAGTGCAGAGACCAGTACAGTGTGATATTCGAGAGCGGGGACCGGACCTCCATATTCTGGAATGATGTGAAGGATCCTGTCTCCATCGAAGAGAGAGCGGTGGGTGTTTGCTGCCTCGTGGGGAGGGCACTGGGCACAAGATCAGCTTGGGGTCTGGTCTCTGAGATCCGTCTCCGAGATCAGGCCCTTCATCCTTCCAGCTCTGAAGTAAGTCAGGACGTGGGACTGGGCTTCTTGTGTGTTTGAGCTGAGAGTTTGAGGGAAAACTCCTTACAGGAGGATTGTGCACTTGGCTGCGGCTGTGGGGCTAACGTGGGCGTGACTTTCTCCACAGCGGTGGACGGAGACCTACGTGCGGTGGTCTCCTAAGGGCACCTACCTGGCGACCTTCCATCAGCGAGGCATCGCTCTTTGGGGGGGAGAAAAATTCAAGCAGATTCAGAGATTCAGCCACCAGGGGGTTCAGCTCATTGACTTCTCACCTTGTGAAAGGTAAGGCCTTGGAGAAGTGCAGGTGGCGTCTGCTCTCAGCTCCTACGGGCCTTCTGCAGATGGTTTTAACACCTTCTTCTTTCGCACTGATTTCACACTTACAAATGGCAGGAGACGTGCGGGGAGCCCCGTGCGCTCTGCACCGAGCTCTCCAGTTCACGTTTGGTTGCATTGCTTTGTTGTTTCCTCTTCAAAGACGTGGACATGATTTTAGTTTTTTTTTTTTAAACCCTCAAGGATATTTCTCCATTTATCTTCAGATAGAGCAGGAGGAAGAGTGCTAGGAACATTGATGTGAGAGAGACATCAATTGGTTGCCTCACCCCCCACCCCCCCAGGAACTGAAGTACCTGCCGTTAGCTGGGATTGAACCTGGGTCTCTCTGTTCCGAGGGCTGATGCTCCACTGCTGAGCCAAACCGGCCAGGGCTAGATGTGATTTTTTTATGAGCCACTTGGTAGTAAGTGGAAGGATCCTGTCCCTTTCCCCTGAGTGTGCGTCCCCAGGAATGGGAAATCTGCACAACCATGTGCAGGTGCTAACTTCAAGAAAGGACGTGGATCAATGGTTTGAATTTTGTCACTTGATATTGTGTATGTCCTTAGTAAAAACTTTGGCTTAGCAGTTAGAACATAGGCTCGCGGACCAGAGTCCTGGGTTTGGTTCCTGCTAAGGGCACGTACCTCAGTTGCAGTTTGTCCTTGGCCCCGTTGGGGTTGTGTGGGTGGCGACCACCTGATGTGTCTCATTCATATCGATGTTTCTCTCTCTCCCTCCTGCTCTATCTGAAGATAAATGCAAAAATGTCCTCAGGTGAGGATTAAAAAAAAAAATCCCCCTTCAGTTCAAGATCTAGTCCAAGATCGTGTATTTGGCAGACAATGTCCTTGTGAGCAAACATCCGTCCTGTGTGTGAAGGTCTGTGTAGCGTAGCTCTGGGGGTGGGACACGAGCTCCACGGCCACGCCGCGTCCTCTCGCCTGCCCACGGCCTTGGTGCCTGGAGCGCCCTCCTCTGGAGCACACGCAGGCCCTCTCCCCTCTGCGAGGCTGGCGTACTGTAGTCTCGCCTTTCACTTGGCGGGCTGCGCGTGGTGGGAACATGCGCACAGCTCCGGTCCTGCTGCCGCCTGTGCTGTTTGGACCACTAGAGTGAAGGTGTCCAACACACGGAGACTCAACACGTGTGATAACAACAGCCCTGTACCGATTACTTAGATTTAGTGATTGTTTTGAGTTTGTGTTTTTATCCTCACCCGAGGTCTTTTTTCCTTTTTTGTTCAGTTAGAGAGAGAGAGAGAGAGAGAGAGAGAGAGAGAAACATCGAAGTGAATGGGACACATCGAGTGGCTGCCTCCCGCACGACCCCAATCAGGGCCAGGGACAAACTGCAACCAAGTTCCATGCCCTTAGCAGGCACCGAACCCGGGTCTCTCTGAACTGCGGGCTGATGCTCTCCCCACTGGGCCAAACCAGCCAGGGCTGTTTTGAGTGTTTTGAAGTAAATGACAGACATCTCCACATGTGTTCAGCTGGATGCAGCTGTCATGTGACCATGGTTCTTTATCACCCCTAACAGGACTGGTGACAGTTCCTCAGTGTCAGCTCTTGATAGCTGGTCAGTTCAGACCCGGGCCCAGGCCGGTGTGCACGCTGGGTGTAGTCCTTATGCCCAGGCTCTGGCCTGTGGTTCGCATTCTTCCCTGGGTTATGTGTTGATACCAGCCTATTGAGACAGGACCAGGTGGCCCATAAAGCATCTCACCTTTTATTTTTTTATAATATCTTTTTTGTTTATTGATTTTAGAGAGAGAGGAAGGGAGAGGGAGAAAGAGATAGAAACATCAATGAGAGAGAACATCGATTGGCCACCTCCTGCACGCCCCCCACTGGGGATCGGGCCCACAACCTGGGCATGTGCCCTGACTGGGAATCGAACCAGCGACCTCTTGGTGCATGGGTCGACTCTCAACCATTGAGCCACAATGGCCGGGCCCGTCTCACCTTCTTGATCTGACTGATCACTTCCTTGAGACATCATTTAATTTTTTTATTTTAATCATTGTATTTCCTATAAACCGTAAGTTCTGATGGATGTTTCTTTTGTTTTTTCTTTTTGATGGATGTTTTCTTTTTTTTTTTAATCCTCATCCGAGGACACTTTTCCATTTTTTGTACAGAGTGGGAGGGAGAGAGAGGAAGAGAGAGAGAGGGAAACATCGATGTGAAAGGGACACATCGAGTGGCTGCCACCCGCACAACCAACCAGGGCCGGGGACAAACTGCAACCGAGGTACGTGCCCTTAGCGGGAACCGAACCCGGGCCTCTCCAGACCGCAGGTGGACGCTCCAACCGCTGAGCCAAACCGGCCAGGGCTGATGGATGTTTTCTTAATTTTGATGAAATAGTTTTATATAATTGTCATTGGAATGCTCATTAATTCACAACCACTTTGCATGTTTTTTTTTTGTTGTTTTTTTTTAATCCTCACCCGAGGATATTTTTCCATTTTTTGTACAGATAGAGTGGGAGGGAGAGAGAGGAAGAGAGAGAGAGAAACATCGATGTGAAAGGGACACATCGAGTGGCTGCCACCCGCACGACCAACCAGGGCCGGGGACAAACTGCAACCGAAGTACGTGCCCTTAGCGGGAACCGAACCCGGGTCTCTCCGGACCGCAGGCCGACGCTCTAACCACTGAGCAAAACCGGCCAGGGCCACTTTGCATGTTTTTAGTGCACAATTATTGACATCTTATTCTAGCAGCAGTGTATATAAACTGATCCAAGCAAGACCCCTGAGCCCTGTGCCAGGGCGACATGCAGGGTCAGGGCATCTCCTTCCCCTCGTCTCCTGGGGCCCTTCCCCAGTCCTCCAGGCACCTCGGTCAACTGCACTGTCCCTAGGGGGTTCCACTCCGTGTTTCGAGTGGGTGTCTTCATAGAAGAACAGCCAGGGAAGCCTGGGTGGGGGCCGTGCTGGCTGTGACTGTGCCTGTTACAGATACCTGGTGACATTCAGCCCGCTGATGGACACACAGGATGACCCTCAGGCCATCATCATCTGGGACATCCTTACCGGGCAGAAGAAGAGAGGCTTTCACTGCGAAAGCTCGGCCCACTGGCCTATTTTCAAGTAGGTGGACGGTGGGCACTGGTGACCTCTCTGGGGCCTGCTCGGTGGCAGAGCCTGGCACTGGTCCTTTTCTTCCAGGTGGAGCCACGATGGTAAATTCTTTGCCAGAATGACACTCGACACCCTCAGCATCTATGAAACTCCCGTGAGTGGTTTTATCATCTGCCCACGGCTGTGCCAGCTCGGGGTGGAGCTGTGCGCAGAATGGAGGCTGCTCTCGTGTCCTGGGTCTGGTCACCCCCTGCCAGCCTCCATCTTGTGCTGCAGAGGGTTGGGGACGGAGAGATGGCTGGGAAACGTGATCTGTTTCAGTGTTTATCCGTCACTCTATGCTCACACCACCCCCTCAGCAAGCTCACATCAGAACCTCTGCTTGCCTTTTTGTTTTGTTTTTGTTTTAATCCTTACCCGAGGATATTTTTCCATCAGATAGAGTGGGAGGGAGGAAGAGAGAGAAACATCGATGTGAGAGAGACACATTGATTGGTTGCCTCCCTCACAACCAGTGACGAACCACAACTGAGGTACATACCGTTGGCTGGGATCGAACCCAGGACTCTGTTCCTCAGGCCAACGCTCTAACCACTGAACAAAACCAGCCAACGCTTTGTTTGCCTTTTTGTTAACAAACAAAACTATTGTTGCCCTGGCTTGTTTGGCTCAGCGGTTGGTGCGTTGGTCCGCGGACCAGAGAGGCCCGGGTTCGGTTCCCGCTAAAGGCATGCGCCTCAGTTGCAATTTGTCCCCGGCCCCGGTTGGGGTCGTGTGGGTGGCGACCACTAGATGTGTCTCTCTCACATCAGTGTTTCTCTCCCTCTCTTTCTCCTTCTCTCCCTCCCACTCTATATCTCAAGACAGTGCAAAAATGTCCTTGGGTGAGGATTAAAAAATAACTAACTAACTAAATAAATAAAAAAACTCACAAAACTATTGTCCTGATCTGAGTTGTTGTGCTCCTTGTTTTTCCCGCAGTCTATGGGCCTCTTGGACAAGAAGAGCTTAAAGATCTCCGGTATAAAGTAAGTGCGTCCCTCTGGGCTGCGCACCTTCTCTTTCTCCCCGAGCCCTGGGCTCCATTCTGAGGGGAAGTGCCATCCTTGCTCCAGGCACACGGATGGCCCCAGGCTGCCTGTGCCCTCTGGGCTGTGTCCCCTTGCCGCACAGGGGACTTCCTGAGGGCCACCAGTGGAGCGCAGACTGTGTGGTGACGGGTGTTGTTACTTGGGGGGCCCGTGCAGTGGGTTCAGGTGATCTTGCGAGTCCAGCGCATGCCCATCTTCTTTCCCTGGAGCCTCTGTGTGGGCTGGTGTCTGCGGTGAAGTGCCTGCCGTGAGGGGGTGGTTATGTTTCTGTTTTTTAAATACGTTTTTATTGATTTTTTTTTTTAGAGAGGAAGGGGGAGAGAGAAACATCAGTGTGGGAGGGAACCATCGATCAGCTGCCTCCTGCATAACCCCTGCTAGGAATCGAGCCCACAACCCGGGCATGTGCTCTGACCAGGAATTGATCTGGAACCTCTTGGTCCTTGGGATGACGCTCAGCCACTGAGCCACACCAGCCGGGCTGGTCATGTTTCTTATGCCTCATCCTTACGTTCTTGGGCAACATGCTGGGTTGTATTAAAGTAGGGTCAGGACTTGGTTCTCGCAAACAAGAAGTGGAGACGCCGTCCCTCCAGGCCCTTCCCTCGACGTCCCTGCCCTCCTGCCGTTGTTGGGGTGTGTCCCCTAGCATCCTAGTGGGTCCTCAGAAATCCTGTCGCCAGGCCCTTCCCTCGACGTCCCTGCCCTCCTGCCGTTGTTGGGGTGTGTCCCCTAGCATCCTAGTGGGTCCTCAGAAATCCTGTCGCCAGGCCCTTCCCTCGACGTCCCTGCCCTCCTGCCGCTGTTGGGATGTTCCCCTAGCATCCTAGTGGGTCCTCAGAAATCCTGTCGCCAGGCCGTCACCTCAAGGAATTGTACCTGCTGGCAGCCGCGGGAAGTGGTGGGCAGTGGGCTCGAGTCCGGCCTGGTGGCCGTGTGGCAGTGGCGCACTGCAGCATCTCCGTCTTGCCTCCTGGCCGAGAGCCTAGTGCCAGGGTGTCATGAGGAGGAAGTGAGCTGACGCCCCCAGAGCAGCGTCCAGGAGCGAGCTCCCGCACAGCCGGTCCTTGTGTGAAACTTGTTTTCTTTGTTCTGCAGAGACTTTTCCTGGTCTCCTGGTGGTAACATAATAGCCTTCTGGGTGCCCGAAGACAAAGACATCCCCGCGCGGGTGACCCTCATGCAGCTGCCCAGCAGGCAGGAGATCCGCGTCAGGAACCTGTTCAACGTCGTGGACTGCAAGCTGCACTGGCAGAAGAACGGGGACTACTTGTGTGTCAAGGTGGACAGGACGCCCAAGGGCACCCAGGTGAGGGCGCCCTCGGTGGGCCTGCGCACGGCTCCGGCTGCCTCTCCTGTTTGCAGGATGTCAGGAGGTTTGGTTTGAGTTTCTGGGTTAACTGGCAGCAGTAGGTAGCTGGCGTGTCATCGGTGAAGCTCTGGTTACATCTCAGCTGAGGAGTGTCGTTTTTCTATAGAACTCTGAATGGGTGAGACATTCGTGTAGTTTATTTTTATTTTTTTGTTCATCCTCACCTGAGGATATTTTTCCATTGATTTTTAGAGAGAGTGAGAGGGACGGACAGAGAGAAACATCGATGTGTGAGACACGTGGATTGGTTGCTTCCTGCATGACCCCGACCAGGCCTGGGGATCGAACCTCCAACCCACGGATGTGCCCTTGACTGGATTTGAACCCACAGTCATTCGGCCTGTAGGCTGACGCTCCAACCACTGAGCCAAACTGGCCATGTAAAGGTAGCGGGAATTTAGCTGACCTGAACAGCACAGGTGTGAGCTGCGTGGGCCCCCACGGGCTTCTTTCAGGAGTTACATGGCCCACCACGGCCCCGGGTTTCACATCTGGCTTCAACCAACCCCAGTGGAAAGCAGTACTGGGGACCCCTGAGCTGTGGGGTGGCTGTGTGCCTGATCCTTGCCAGTTTATGTGAGGGGCACGAGCGTTCGGAGGCCTGCAGCCCGTCCTCGGGGTGCCCCGGGTCCACTGGCGTTCTGTTTGGCGGTCAAAGTGCTGTGGGGGTTTTTGACTGCATGGGTTTGGTGCCCCAACCCCTGCATTGTTCACGGGTCAGCTGTACGGTGAGATCTTCAGGCACCTGCCTTCCTTCTCGAGGTGAAGTGAAGACTGTTTCTTTCTAATTTTCCTAAGCACAAAGTGTAGCCTCCTCGACCAGTTCTGTGCCCAGCCCAGGTTTACTTTCCCCCGTCGTGCGATATTCAACTTACCTGAAATATTGCCTGATTTTCCCTCACGTGGACGTATCCCCTTTCCCTTTACAAGCGTGCGGTTCAGCGGTCTGGTCTCACAGACCCGTGCAGCGGTCACTGCTGGCTTAGTTCCAGAGCTCTCTCGTCACCCCGGAAAACCAAATCCGTCAGCCTTACTCACGCTCCCCTTTCCCGCCGGCTCCCGACAGCCCTGTTCTGCTTCCTTGCTCTCTGGGTCTCCCTGCTTGGGCGTTGCAGAGTCGTGGAATCACAGTGTGTGGTCCCTTCTATCTGGCCGCCTTCCCTGAGCACGGCCTCAAGGCTCCCCACACTGCCCACCCCAGCGTGGGTCCTGGCTGCACATGGGTGTGCAGGCCGTGTTTGCCTGTGTCTGCTCCGAGGAGGACAGCGCCCTGCAGGGCCCGCTGTGGACAAGGTCTCTGATCCGTCCCTGCCGGGAACCAGGGAGATTGTGCAGGCGGGCTGCAGTGCGGATTCGAGAACCGTCTGCATGAGAACATGACCTTAGGGCAGTTCTTTGCAGTGGAGTCTGGGCCTGTGTGTGTGCACGCGCATGTGTTCTCCCGAGACTGTCCCCATCCCTGCGTCCACCCGAGGACTCTGTGTCACGATGAGGGTGTCATTGTGATCACTTCGTCTTTGATTGACGTCTTCCTCATACTTCAGGTTTCCACATCATTACCCTTTTTTTTTTTAACAGGGTGTTGTCACAAATTTTGAAATTTTCCGAATGAGGGAGAAACAGGTACCTGTGGATGTGGTCGAAATGAAAGGCAAGTTCTGTCGGGCTCTTCTGTGGGTGAGTGGCCCTTGTGTGGTTCATGCCTGGCGCTCGGGACTGGGCGGGAGCACCAGGCCTCTGAGTCAGGACGCGTCCATGCGCTCGGGGTCGTTTGTCCTTCCCAAGTTCAGTCCTTTAACGTTTCTAAGGGCCGGAGGTGGCTGTCCCACACTTTTCTCACCACTGCTCACCACGGAGCGCAGCGGCGAGGAGCCCGCCAAGAGCGCGCGGGCCTTAGGCCATGGTCAGCACAGGCAGCTGCGGAGCTTCTCTGGACGCATTGAACAGCTGTTCAGTGCTGTGCTTCTGCCTTTTGGTGACAAAGTTAGCTTGTGTCCCTTGGTTTTTGTTTTGCTGGGGGGGGGGGGCACAGAGAGAGGAGAGTGTGCAAAGCCTGGCCCCCGTCTAGGAGGACGGCCTCCACGAGGCGGCAGAATTGTGTCAGTGCCGTGGGAGTGTAGGGAAGGACACATCCATAGGCCGCCTAGCCCCCTGTGGGCAGGCATTTCCGCTGGGCTGGGGGGATGGAACGTGCTGCTGCGGACTCCAGTCCTGTGCGCCATCATCCCTGTGCGCCATCATCCCTGGGCCTGCTCCGCGGGCCTTTACTGGGCGTGGGCCGGGCTGTAACTGACCAGGGCGCATTCGTCATCACAGAGACCATCATCGCCTTTGCCTGGGAGCCCAACGGGAGCAAGTTTGCGGTGCTGCATGGAGAGGCCCCTCGGATATCTGTGTCCTTCTACCACGTGAAGAGCAACGGGAAGATCGAGCTCATCAGTAGGTGCCCTGCCTGTCCTGTGTCTTGTAGGGGTGGGCAGTCGGCATGGGGGCCGGCGGGGCAGTGCACAGGCCCGAGCCCACTGCGAGAAGTCTACAGTGGTTCACGTGGGCATCTCACGTCCACGGAGAGACAGGACCTCTGTGGCTCCCTCACCTGTCAGGAGCTACACTTCTGCTTCCTGCCCTTGTCATCAGTGGATGAAGGTGCTGTGCCTGGGGTTGGGGGCACATAGCCCTGCCCCTGCGCCAGGGAGCCCTGTCCCCAAGCTGGGACTGTGACTGCTGACGGGCTCCACCTGTGTCCTCAGTGCTCACCACACAGTGGGTCCTCGGCAGACGCTGGTTTCACACTCGCTTGTTCCTCGCAGTGCTGCTTGTGCTGACTGCGGGACAACACCTCCGCTTCCGCGCATTCATTCATTCATTCTTAATCCTTGCTGAGGATAAGTTTCTATTTATTTCCAGATAGAGCGGGAGGGCCCTGGCCTGTTTGGCTCAACGGTTAGAGCGTTGGCCTGCGGTCTGGAGAGACTCAGGTTCGGTTCCCGCTAAGGGCACGTACCTCCGTTGCAGTTTGTCCCCGGCCCTGGTTGGGTTGTGCGGGTGGCAGCCACTCAATGTGTCCCTTTCACGTCGATGTTTTTCTCTCTCTCTTTCTCTCTCTTTCTCTCCCTCCCACACTATCTGAACAAAATATCGAAAAATGTCTTCGGGTGAGGATAAAAAACAAAAACAAAAACAGATAGAGCGGGAGGGAGAAAGGGAGAGAGAGAAACATCAATGTGAGAGAGACATTGGTTGCATGACCCCGACTGGGGCCAGGGACAAACTGCAGCCCAGGTATGTGCCCTTGACCGGAATCAAACCTGAGACTCGTTGGTCTGTGGGCTGTGCTCTAACCGCCGAGCTAAACCGGCAGGACTCTGGCCCCACTTTAGAGGGTGTGCCCTGCTTGGGCCACGCGCTCCACGTGCTCCTGGAAAGGGCACACAGGACTTCTCGCCACAGAGACGGGTAGCTTTTCCCGAGATGCTTCTGTAAAGAGTGTAGTTTTTACTTCCTCAAGCTGAGCAGCATCTGTGGGAGAATCAGTGGGCCATCCGTCACAAAGCCGTGTTATCAATGCCCTTGACACGGAAGGAACTGGGGCAGTCTGTCAGAAGACTCGCCTCTCGCTGTGACTTGCTCGTGAAGCCGACAGCAGTGACAGGTGCCTCGACCTGTTGGACTGTGCGTCTCATCCCTTTCTGGGGAGCGTGGTGTCTGCATTGGGGTGGTCGTGCTCCCTCACGGCCGATGGCTGTCGAGGGATCTGCTCATAGAGCTGTTCTGTGTCCTTGGTTTTGGTCTCAAACTCCAACTGTCAGGCTTCAGCACATCCTCTCCCCTCCCAGCGCCCCTTCCTGCAGGCTGGGCTGCAGGCTGACCAGGGGTCCTGGGCCGAATGCCCGCCTAGTGAGAACTCTCACCCCAGTGGCCCCCAGGTCTGTGCAGGGAGGGGGCATGAGGGGAGATCTGATTTATGAGCATGCAGTGGGAAGAGATGTTGGAGGCACTATAAGAACTGATTTTAGCATTTTCTTGGTCTCTCCGAGAATCAGACGGGAACTGGAGTCCTCGTCTGGCAGTCAGAGCAATGGTGCTTATGCAAATGAAACTCCTTTGTCTAGTTACCTCATGAAGTGAATTTTTTTGTTTAATATGCTTTTATTGATGTTTTAGAGGGAGAGAGAGAGAGAAACATCGATGAGAAAGAACCATCGATCAGCTGCCTCCCGTGCGCTCCCTATAGGGATCGAACCTGCAACCTCGGCATGTGCCCTGACCGGGAATCGAACGCCGACGTCTCAGTCCACTGAGCCATAGCATTGCAGCTTTAAATACTCGCCCTGGGTTTTTGTTTGTGTTTTCTGTAAGTGTCAGTCACAGCTCCAGGCGTGCCTCAGTGACGGGTCTCTGGTGGTCCTCGCAGGTGTGGTGCGTGGAGCTGTGGCTAAAGCCCAGTTTGCAGGCTCACCCAGGGGTCACTTGCCCATCAGCAGTGCCAGTCCTGGCTGCAGGCCGGCTCCAGACCTGTATGACTCGTAACGAGCGCTTTCTCTCCCCGCAGAAATGTTCGACAAGCAGCAGGCAAACACCATCTTCTGGAGCCCCCAAGGGCAGTTCGTGGTGTTGGCTGGTCTGAGGAGGTGGGTGTCTGCCGTCGGTCCCTGAGCACTGCCCAGGTGCCGACCCCAAGCCTGAGTCTCTTGCGCTGGGTTCTGAATGGTGACGCTGCTCTGAGTCCTCGAGAACTCGAGTGTTCTCATGTGGAAGGGCCACCCCCGCTTCAGTGTATGGGAGGCTCTAAGCGCAGTGTCTGTGCCCAGGCCGGGCAGAGTGAGGCAGGCACCTGGCAGCCCAGCCTGAGCCCACGTCTTCTTGAGGAGGAAGGTGCACTCCCGCAGCGTGACCTGCCGTAACTCTGGGCGTGCCACCACAAGGGGGCAGGCTCTCGCACCCTCACCCCTGCTCAGCTGAGCCTTACTCTGGGCGTGCCACCACAAGGACGCAGGCTCTCGTGCCCTCACCCCTGCTCAGCTGCTCCGCCCGCAGACCACGGGCTGGCAAGGGCCCTGCAGGGTCCTGCCCGTGCATGCGGACCCCTCTGGCTGCTTGTTCCCCTCGCTTGGTGGGAGATGCTTACTGTTCTTGGAGGTGTGGTGCAGACAGATGGCCTGTCATGTGCTCGTGACACACCGTCCACAAGGTCCTCGTCTCTGTCATTCCTGCATTAACAGAAGGCAGCGGTCAGGGCTGCAGTTAGACCTCACCCGGGGTCTCTGGGTGCAGGAATGCGGGGCGATCCCATCCCGTGGTGAGGCTCTTGGGAGGACCTCCTGTCTGTCTGTCTCCCCAGCATGAACGGTGCCCTGGCGTTTGTGGACACATCGGACTGCACGGTCATGAACATCGCTGAGCACTACATGGCCTCCGATGTGGAGTGGGACCCGACGGGGCGCTATGTCGTCACCTCTGTGTCCTGGTGGAGCCACAAGGTACGGGCCCGTGCAGCCTCACACCCGTGAAACGGGCGGTGCCCAGCATGGCATCGCCGCCTCCCCTCCAGGTCTCCTTGGTGCAGCGGGCATTGCTGTTGATGCCACAGTTCATTGATCCTTCGGGCCAGCCTTGGCTGCCTCAGTACGGCTCTTCCTCCACTTGGGGCTGTGAAGACTGGAAATCAGAAATGCCCAGCAAGCCTCATGGCTAAGCCCCGCCCCCCCCACGTGCTCAAAGCACTCCATTGGCCTGCGGCCGTCGCTGCTGACGCCCAGGGCTGTGTGAGGAGCTGTGCACGCACTGGCCCGGGGCATCTGGGACTGGAAGTGTGGTTTCCACTAAGCGCATTCCATCACAGTGGGGTCAGCTACTGAGCACCTGGAACAGCTGCAGGCTCTGGTCACGCGCTCCGGAGTCGGGCCCGTCTTAGCCTGCTGTGGCCCAGTCTGGGCTGCCGGCGTCTGCAGTGGCCAGAGCTGCTCAGTGTGGTGAGGCATACAGCTCCCGGTCTGCAGCCTCCCTGTGCTCGGCTCGTCCAGGTTGCTCACGGAGGCTCATGCATGGAGGGGTGTGTGTGGCGGGAAGGTGCGTTTTTGCTCACGTTCTCCCAGCGGTTACTTCTCTTTCAAGCTGTTCTGGTCGCCAGGCCTGTGAGGTCAAATTTAGTGACATGAACTTTCAGGAACACCAACTTGGTACACAAACTGCAAAAGGGGCATAAGTAATAGTCTTACGTTTTTATTGATTTTTTTTTAGAGCGAGAGAAACATTCATCGACTGCCTCCTGCACGTCCCCTACTAGGGATCGAGCTCACAACCCGGGCATGTGCCCTGACCGGGAGTCGAACCAGGACCTCTCAGTCCACGGGACGATGCTCAGTCCACTGAGCCACACCAGCCAGGCTTGAGTAATAGTCTCTATGTTCTGACCAGGGTCAGTCAGAATGCCCCTGTCTCACCCTCAACGAGGCTTCCTCAGTGCTGTGTCAAATTAGGACGTGCTCCAAAGTGCCATCTGTGACAGGGTCACAGCAGAGTGAGGGACACGCTGCTCCTTCTCCGAGACGTCCCGCACGTGTTTGGCGAGGGCTCTGCCCTGGCCCAGGTGGAAGTGTGTGTTCGGCGCTGTGCTGCTGTGTGTGTGGCATCGGCGCACAGTGTCCCCGTCTCGTGTGTCAGTTAACTTTCCCTTGGTGGTGTCGCTTGGTGAAGGCAGAGTCTGGACTATTGCGTCCCCGGGGGCCGTCGGCAGTGGCGCTGTTGGCCGCAGACGAGTGTGGAGTGAGCGGTTCTGCTGCTCTGCTGGCCCGCAGGCTGCAGGCCCTGGTGGAGTGAGCGCTGCGCTTGGCCCCTGCTCTCTCCCAGGTGGACAACGCTTACTGGCTGTGGACCTTCCAAGGGCGCCTCCTGCAGAAGAACAACAAAGACCGCTTCTGCCAGCTGCTGTGGAGACCTCGGCCCCCGACCCTCCTGAGCCAGGATCAGATCAAGGTCTGGTGTCCCCAGCAGGTTAAGGCGGCGTCAGGGTGGTGATGAGGGAGGAGTAGGAAGGTGCCATCTGGGGGAGCCTTTGAAGAGCTGCCCAACAGTAGCAGCCGAACAGGAAAGACAGTGTTAGGACAGTCACAGAATTTTCAGGGTGTTTCAGACCCTGTCGGCACCATCCTAGGAAATGGGCGTGGACTGGGCGGGGGCTGTGCAGACATCCTGCTGGGATTGGAGGGGCGCCTGTGGGGTTTACATGAGCACAGGGAGCTGCACTGATGGAGTTGGGTGAGGGCGAAGCCGAGAGGACACAGCCCCAGGAAAGGAGTCCAGTCAGAAGCCAGGGGCATGGAGGGCCCTTGGGTGCTGTGTCCCCCTGGCTGCCGGGCTGTCGTTTCACGCCGGCAGTGTGGAGGCTCGTCTGTGGGCCTGTTCTGCACATGTCCTGAGGGGCTTGTCTCTGTCTCAGCAAATCAGAAAAGACCTGAAGAGATACTCCAAGATCTTCGAGCAGAAGGACCGTCTGAGCCAGTCCAAAGCCTCGAAGGTCAGCCTCGTTCCTCAGCCTGAGAGATGCACAGAGCAGGGCCAGCGTCTGCTGTGGGGAGGCGGTGTCCACTGGCAACCCCTTCTCCACAGAGGCCACTCCCGGTGCTGCCGCCCTGGGTGGACTGGCAGGGCCCTGGCCCTAGAACCTTGGCAGCTGGCTTTCCAGATACAGGAGGTGGGGCTGGGGCCGTTAGCGGGGAGAGAGCAGGCACCCCCACCGTTCCGGTCCTGGCCGCCCCTCAAGTGAAGGGTCCATGTTGTCTGGTGTGGCTGCTGCTGGTACAGGGCTCGGAGTTGGTTCAGCAAAATCATGATGAGAAGTGTCAGCCCTGTGACTCCCCGCCCTGCCCCGCACCTAGGAATTGGTGGAGAGGAGGCGGACCATGATGGAAGACTTCCGGAAGTACCGGAAGATGGCCCAGGAGCTCTACATGGAGCAGAAAAACGAGCGTCTGGAGTTGCGAGGAGGTAACTTGACGAGCTGGAGGTTGTTTGTTAAGAACATTTTTCTCTCTGCGTCTGTGATGGTTTCCTGGATTTCTCAGTAAACAGTAAGTGACGTGTAGTGGTTCTCGGATGGTCGAAGGGTTCGTGCTGCACTCTTCACACCTCGCGTCTGCGCCCGTGGTCCTTTGCCAGGTCCCTTGCCAGTTTGCACTGCATCCTGGCTGTGAGCGTGCATGTGTCCCTGAGGCGGGAGCCAGCGGTGCCCGCACACCCACTGTCACCTCTCCTCTAGGTGTGGACACTGACGAGCTGGACAGCAACGTGGATGACTGGGAGGAGGAAACCATTGAGTTTTTTGTCACTGAAGAAATTATTCCTCTTGGGAATCAGGAGTGACCGAGAGCACTGTGGTAAGACTTCTCAGCTGGGCGCGGCTGGCACCCTGTGGTTAGCCGAGGGAATGTCTATTCGAGGTGAAAGTCCAGTTTTGTCCTCGCGGTTGGTCAAGGCCTTGCATGTAATCACGGCAAGTAAAGTGCAAAGCCGGGCATCGGGGCTGCTGCCAGGTCCAGGGCTGGCCCCTGCCTTGAGTAGGGTTTGGGTGGCAGAGAGGACAGGGCCCACGCCAGGTGGCGGAAGGTGGGTGTCCCTGGCTGTGCCACCCACTCTGGTCAGTCCTTGGTTGGTCTAAGACACGAGCCTCCAAAATCCGGTCAGGTGTGGGGAACTCAGACGTTGCCTAGTGACCAGAAGGACCTGGAGTCTGGGGGCAGGGAGTCCCTGGGTGTCCAGGCATTGCTGTCGCAGGGCAGGATGAGTGACTCTCCTCGGTGACGGTGCTCCACCGTCGAGGCTGCTGCTCACAGCGCAGGCGTCAGACCGAAGGCAGCTCTGGACTGTGTGTCCCCCTCAGACTGGGTGGTTGGTGGGTGCCCGCTGTGCTGCCCCTGGCGAGGGCGTGAGTGCAGGGCAGAGTCAGCGTGTTCCTTTGTTGCAGCGCCACCTTGTGCTGGAAGCAGGCCGTCTCTGCAGACAGCCTGCGCAGCTCCTGCACTTCCTGTGCTTCCCTGCTCTGGACCGACTGCGCCTGGGATGCCGTCTCCAGAGCTGTGCCTTGACCCTGGCGTCAGTGCGGCTCTAAGGCACGGCTTGCAGCCTCTTCCTGTCTGGGTTCTGGGCCGCACCAGTGTCTGTTACTGGGCCGCAGCTGGCGCTGTGCGGGACTCCCGCTGTGCACCGCCCAGGCGACTGTCCACCTCGGCCTCCCTGTGGGACTCTTCCGTGGGAGTGGACGCCAGCAGGGGCCGTGCACCACCTGTGTCCCAGCGTGCTCGGCACTGCGGTGCCCGTCCCCGCATTCAGGTTGTGGCAGGGTCTCAGTTGGCTGACCGTGGAAATAAAAGCAAACCTGTATGAACGAGCTGTCTTTCTCCGTCTTTAAACATAGGTAGTTACCGTGTTGGGGCCTCTCTCCCTGTCCCCAGCAGTAACAGCAGATGGGCTCGTGACCCAGGGCAGGTGTGACAGGCATGGCAAGCAGGGACGCCCTGTGGGCTTGTCCTGCGTGTGCAGCTGCGCGTCATCAGTCGAGACAGCTGCTCCAGGTGTTCCCGTGCTGTCTGGGAGCCTTCCACCCTCCTGCAGCAGCTCGGGTCTGGAGGCACCTGAGGCTGCTCAGGCTGCTCCTCTGTGGTCCTCTGAATGTTTTCCCTTCTGCAAAGGGCGTGAGCAGGGACGCGTGGTTTTGGCCGGTTTTCATTGTCTGCGGCCTGCTGCCCATTGTGCCGTTTGACCGCAGCTTCTCCCCACCAGTGTGTCTCCAGGGCCCAAGCTCAGCCTTTAGGAAGCACTGAGGCCGGGACGGGCCCTCAGAGTTCATGGCCGTGATGGGTACAGGTCTGGCATTCTGTGATGGGGGGACCAGCTGTCCTGTGTGGGCCAGGAAACGGATGCTTGCCCCAGGCTCGCCCCAGGAAGGCCTGGCCCCTCTGGGTCCCCAGGGACGCAGGTCCTGGTGTTTGTCCTCAGCCTCGGGCTTCCTGTGCTGCCAGCCGTGCCCCCAGCCGCCAGTGCCTGTCCCTGCTGTAGAGAGCACACGGCTGTCAGCTCAGCGTTCAGAAGAGAACTTCTCATGATTTCAGACTTGCTACTTGTAATTGTTTTACATAATTTGTAAATAAAAGACTATCTGAAACTGCTTTCTCCGATTGTCCTGGCTCGCTGTGGAGAGTTCCTGACCCACCTGTGGGGCCGGGGGTGAGGGTGGGTGCTGGGCCCCTGCTGCCCGCACAGGTTTGAAGGGCTTGGCTTTCATGTGGGCCTGGTGGGTGAGGCTGGAGCTTTGGTGGGAAGGGACGTGGGTGTTAGAAGGACGGCGCTGTCTCCCCTCCCTGTTAGTCAGGAGCAGGGAGCTCGCGGGCCTGCCCTGGAGCACTCCACCTGAGGCCCATCCCCCGCTAGAGGGCCCCTGGGCCCCTGTGGTTGGGATTTCCCACTGACCTTGCCGGTCCCTGACTTGGGTGCGGGAGTGTCCAGACACGAGGCAGACAGCGGCTCCCACAGCTCAGCAACACGGAGCTGAGCACAGCGCTGACGCAGGCAGTGCACTCGGACCCTGGCAGACCCACACGGTGGGCAAGGGGGCCCGGCCCGAAGGGCATTTCAAGGTTGCTTTAGAAATGCCTGGGAACAATGTTCACAACGGAAGCTATTCCGTTAAACGTCAGCTGGCGGCGTTTGTGCCCCTCGGGAAGGCGCCAAGCTGTGGCTGGTGCAGGTCTTGGGCAGGCTCACCTTCGAGCAGGTGGGCGGGGCAGAGGAGCCTGGGTTGCCATGGCGTCAGGTCAGCGCTAGACATAAAGGCTGGACCGTGTCTGGTGTGCAGCCAGCCTGTGCCACTGGGCCTGGGCCACCCAGCCGCTGGGGCCCAGCACCCCGGAGACAGCTAGGGACCAGCTGGGCTCCTGGGGCCACTGATGTCACCAGGGCGGGGCAGGGCGATGCGCAGACAGGACTGCACAGCCTGGATCGCAGGGAGCCAGGGGCCTAACAGGCCAGCTATATGCCCTCCTACCCCACTGCTGGCCCCTACCCCGCCCAGGGCATCCCCACCATGGAGGAGGTGGGGCCCAAGGACCAGCAGCTCATGGTGCGTATCCCTGGTGTCGCGACAGCCTAGGGCTGTGCCCTGAGGCCCCGTCCTCCCTGCTCCTGGCTGCCTCCTGACCCGAGCCCCAGTGCCCAGGCCCTGTGCAGGCGCCACCTTCTCTCAAGGGGGCGTAGCGACCACTTCTCCAGACGCCCCTTCCCTCAGCCCTCTGACTCTCCCTCCCCGGCACCCAGTGCCTGCAGCAGGGCCCCCCCGGGGGGGGGGTCGGCCCCATCCTGGCCCTGTGAAGCCTGAGCAGACCATCTGCTGGGTGACTGGAACCTCAGCCCATCTGACCATTGGGTGAACTTGGCCAAGGACTTGCCCCAAACCCATAGCCTGGTTACAGAGACCCCTGTCCTGACTGCCTCAGGGAGGAGCTCAGCTTCTGTTCCTTCCAGGAGGGACAGTCCCCATCTTGCAGAAGGGAGCAGGGCTTGTGGGGCTCACGGCTCACACATGGATGGGGCTCACGGCCTAGGTTCTGCGACCCCACAGCGCCTCCCGAGGCTCCCTCAGGGCGGGGCGGGGGGGGTGCGGGCGAAGGGGTGGGGCATGGGGCCCTTGCATCTTCTCTGAACGCCTGGAACCAGGTGAGGGGTACAACCAAAGAGTTGCGGGTTCGATTCTGGTCAAGGGCACGTACCTCGGTTTCAGTTTGTCCCCAGTCCTGGTCGGGGTTGTGCAGGAGGCAACCAGTTGATGTGTCCCTCGCACATCGACATTTCTCTCGCTCTCTCTCTCCTCCCTCCCCCTCTGTCTGAAAATAAATGGAAAAATATCCTTGTTGCCCAGCTGGTGTGGCTCAGCGGTCGAGCAATGACTGTGCACCAAGAGGTCGCCGGTTCGATTCCCGGTCAGGGCACATGCCCAGGATGTGGGCCCGATCCCCAGTGGGGGGCGTGCTGGAGGCGGCCGATCAATAGATGTTACTCTCTCTCTCCCTCTCTTTCTAAAAATCAATAAAGAAATTAGGGGAAAAAAAGAAAAATATCCTCATGTGAGGATTAAAAAAATTAAAGAGTGTGAAGCTCAGGGTGGGGGTGTGAGGAAGGACAAAGAGGGGGGACCGAGGCCGGCCGAAGCTGCATGGGGTCCTGCCTACAGGTGGCGCTTCGGATCCGCCCGCTCAGTGACACAGAACTGGAGGAGGGAGCCACCGTCATTGCCCACAGAGTGGGCGGTCAGGTGAGGCTGAGGGAAGAGGGTGTGTCCACGGGGTTCAGCGCTCACCCCGCCTGGGCAGGTGCGCTTCACCTGTGACGCACGCAACGCATTCTGTCACTCACGCTCTCGTCGGTCCAGTGGTTCACGCGTCCATCCACTCGTCCCTTCGTCATCCCTTCGCTCACTCGTTGGCTCGCATGGCCTCACCATGGGCAGGGGCGGGGCCGTGAGGACCAGGAGGGCCCACCCCCAGCTCACCTTCAGGTGTGGGTCAGGCGGAGCAGATGAGGGAATTCATCCGAGCTCAGGCCAGAGAGGAGGGAAGCGGAGCCGGGGTCGGGATGGTCACAGCAGGCCTCTCTGCTGAGCCCTTTGTGCCCTCCCGCAGGCACCACACCGGGTGCCAGAGTGGTCACCGGGGCGGCCGGGGCCAGGGGCCGCACCTGCTCGCAGCCAGGCTCCAGCTCCTAGAGGCAGGCTCAGCAGCTGAGCTCAGCGCGGTTTAGAAGGGTGGGCAGCACCTGTCAGAGTCATCGCCAAACGTGGGGCGAAACGGGGCTTTGTCGACTGAACCGGATTTGCCATGGGCCCTCAGAAGGCAGCCGCAGGCCCCTCGCCCAAGGGACGCGAGAGCTGCTTCCGTCATGGAGAAAGTGCGGCCAGAAGCCAGGGCGGCCCGGGGCGGCTCCCAGCCTGCCTGGCTCCCCGGGACCTCTGGGCAGCCTCACCTCCCGGCGCCTGTTGCCAAAGCCGTGGACCAAGGGCAGGATGGCTGGTGGCCAGGTGGTGGGCTCCGTGGTGCCCCCAACACTTTGCGGTTCCTCCCCAGCGCCCAGCCCTGCAGGGCCTCCCAGTCACCTGCCAGCGCAGAAATAAACAGAGCTGACTGGTCTCCAACTGCCCTGCCCCCCAGCCCCCTGGGAGAGGCGCCTTTGAACCTCCCTGTGGCCCCCAGAGGCCCTCACACACCTCTCTTCATAATCACGCATTTTTGAGATAGGAGAGGCCCCAGGGAGGGCGACCAAGGCCTCAGGGAAACAAAGAGCCACAGAGCTCAGGGGGTCCTTCTTTAAGTACCTGTGCACCCCACGCCTCCACTCTCCCCTCCCGTTGGCTCGTGCAGCCCCTGAGCAAGAAGAGATAAACCTGTGGGGAGTGGGCATGTTGACCTTACCAAGCCCTTCCCGTCCTACGAGGCCTGCCTGTTCTGGTTCCCGGGGGGCTCCTCCACGGCCCCTCCACGGCCCCTCCACAGACCCTCCGCCCTGCTCCTAGACGGTGGTGCTCATGGACCCCAGCGAGGACCCCGAGGACACACTGCGCACACACCGGTCCCGGGAGAAGACCTTCACGTTTGACACAGTTTTCGACCAGCATGCATCACAGGTACCCTCCACCCACCGCCCCCATGTCCCCCACTGGGTCAGGCCTGCCACGAGGGTCCTCACCAAGCCCTGGCGTCCCCTTGGGAGAGTTTGGTGGCCAGGTGGTCTCATTCATTACTTCTCACAGGGGTTTCTTTGATGTTCAATTTGGTTAGCAGTGTTTACACATCTCATCCATCCATCCACCCACCCACCCATCATCCCTCCCTCCCTCCCTCCCTCCCTCCCTCCCTCTCTCCCTCCCTCCCTCCCTCCCTCTGTCCTCCATCCATCCATCCCTCCCTCTGTCCTCCATCCATCCATCCATCCACCCCTCCCTCCCTCTGTCCCCTATCCATCCATCCATCCATCCATCCCTCCCTTCCTCCCTCTGTCCCCCATCCATCCATCCCTCCCTCCCTCCCTCTGTCCCCCATCCATCCATCCATCCATCCATCCATCCCTCCCTCCCTCTGTCCCCCATCCATCCATCCACCCCTCCCTCCCTCTGTCCCCCATCCATCCATCCATCCATCCATCCCTCCCTTCCTCCCTCTGTCCCCCATCCATCCATCCACCCCTCCCTCCCTCTGTCCCCCATCCATCCATCCACCCCTCCCTCCCTCTGTCCCCCATCCATCCATCCCTCCCTCCCTCCCTCTGTCCCCCATCCATCCATCCATCCATCCATCCATCCCTCCCTCCCTCTGTCCCCCATCCATCCATCCATCCATCCATCCCTCCCTCCCTCTGTCCTCCGTCCTCCTGTCCACCTAGCACAGCGGTGCCCTGGCTGCTGGAACACGCTCCCTGCCCCAGGCTCGTGCCCCAGCAGGGGAGACACACCGTGAGCAGACAGAGACAAACCCACCAGCACTAGCGGCGGTGGCGACAGCGAGGTGGGGTGGGGAGCGAGGCTCTCTGACGCCAGCAGCTGTGACCTGGCGGAGGAACCCCAGCTGTGAGGGCCCAGGAGGGAGGGGTCCAGGCGGAGGCTCAGCAGACCCCTTCCACAGACCAAGAGCCGAGACCCCCCGCGGGCTCAGGGAGGCGGGGCTGGCCCGACTTGGGAGGGGGGTTAGACTCATGTCTCGGTGTTGGGGGGCAGGGAATTCGCAGTCATCTCCAGGCCCTCAGCCACTGGGCCTCGGCAGCCGAGCTAACACGGAGCGTGTCCGGAAGGCCTGCCTAGAACCAGACAGCGCCCGTTGGCCCTGGCGACGTCCCCTCCATCGAGGACTGGGCCGCATTCGTCAGGCAGAGTGGGTTTGCTCAGCACCGGCTGGCCCCGCTGCTGGCCAGGTCGCAGTACCTGGTCGCCTGCACTGACTGAGCGGCTACTGCCTGCCAAGAGCCCGCCGCGGTGGCTGACAAGCCTCACAGTGACCCTGTGAGGTGCACAGCAACACTATCCCCATTTCACAGCCGGGCAAACTGAGGCTCCGGGGGGTCAGCAGCCTGCCTGAGGTCACACAGCCCCAGACCGTGAGTCCAGCGCCCAAGGACAGCAGTACGGGCACTGGAGCCGGTCCACCCTGGGTCCATGTGCCGCTTCGGCCTTCTCTGTGAGCTGTGTGACCAGCCGGCCGTCGGGACGGTTCATGGAGAGCAGGGCCCAGAGCTGGCACCCAGGAAGGGCAGAGGAAGGGGGACTGTCATTTTTATTCAGTCCAACCAAACCTACACAGCCTCCTACAGTATCCCTTGAGCGGTCTTTTCTTGAATGCCCCTAGGAACAGGGCACTCACTACTCACAATTCCTATTGCTACGCACTGCTGCCTTAATTAAATTCTGCCAGTGGAGCCCTGGCCAGTTTGGCTCAGCAGTTACAGCATCAGCCTGTGGACCAAAGGGTCACAGGTTCTATTCCTGGTCAAGGGCACGTACCTGGGTTGCAGGTTTGATCCCCTTGGACATTGTTGGGGCGTGTGTGGGAGGCAACCAATCAATGTGTCTCTCTCACATCAATGTTTCTCTCTCTCTCTCCCCCACTCCCTCCCTTCCACTTTCTCTAAAAATCAGTGGAAAAAATATCCTCGGGTGAGGATTCACAAAATAATAATAATAGTAGTGGAATAAATTCTGCTGGTGGAGACTGTCACTCCCGGACCGTTTGGTCCCACGAAGGTGGCTCAGTGCCCCTCAGGCTTCCAAGCCCCGTGGCTGCCTTCAGCCTCCGTGTGCTCCCGGGCTTCTCTCGGTCCCCCCGGAAGCCCGGGGAGGGCTCACACGTGTGCAGTGTGTGTGTCAGGCCCCAGGTGGGGGCATCACGTAGGTCCTCCTGGGCCCCCTGCAGCCTCCTTGCGGGGCCGGGGGTGAGGCCTCAGGCGGTGCAGACACAGGGCCTCCTCCCCAGTGGAGCCCGACTGTTTCCGAGGCCCACGCTGTGTCTAGACCGCCCCCCACGAAGGTCCGGGCCGTGTCCAACGGAATAGACTGCAGGCCTCCAAGCAGCCGATGCCCGCTCCGGGCTGTTCCCTGGACCGTGTCCTTCTGTCTGTCCACAGGAAGACGTGTACCGTGCCACCACCCAGCAGCTCGTGGCGGGCGTCATCTCTGGATACAACGCCACGGTGTTTGCCTACGGCCCCTCAGGTACCCAGGAGTGTCGGGGAAGGACGGCGGCGGGGCGGCCACCTCTTCCGAACAGCCCTGAGCACCGCTGCTGGCGTGGCCCCGGGCTCTGCACCCACAGCCCCTGTCTGGGAGCAGCCCCGAGAGGCAGGCCGGCCCAGCCCCTTCTCACAGATGAGCCCCGCGGCTTCCGGGGTCACACCGCCGCAGGAGGGAGTCTGCCGCTGAACCCCAGCCTGCACCGCGCTGCCCGGAGCCCACGGACTTCTCCGTGGTTATGAGCCAGGTCGGCAGCCGTCCACAGAGCTCAGCTGCTTTCTGGAAACTAGGATCACAGGCCTCACTGTGCCGATGGGGAACGGAGGCCCTGAGACGCACCGGGCCTCCCCACAGCTTGTTTATCTCAGTCATTTGCTCCACAAGCGTGTGCCAGGCTCTAGCAAAGGGCATGGCCAGTCCGGTCCTTGCCTGTGGGTAGACGGGGAAGGGGCCGCGAGGCGCCTGCCGCGAAGGGACCCTTCTTAAAACGCGTGATGCGGCCCTGGCCGGTTTGGTTCAGCGGTTAGAGGGTCCACCTGCGGTCTGGAGAGACCCGGGTTTGGTTCCCGCTAAGGGCATGTACCTCGGTTGCAGTTTGTCCCCGGCCCTGGTTGGTCGTGCGAGTGGCAGCCACTCGATGTGTCCCTTTCACATTGATGTTTCCCTCTCTCTCTTCCTCTCTCTCCCTCCCACTCTGTCTGTACAAAAAATGGAAAAATGTCCTCGGATAAGGATTAAAAAAAATAATAATAAAAAGCGTGATGCGGCCCTGGCCTTGTGGCTCAGCTGATTGCAATGTTGTCCCAGACACCAAATGGTGTGGGTTCGATCCCTGGTCAAGGTGCATGCTGGAGGCAGCTTATTGATGTTTCTCTCTCTTCCTCCCCCTCTCCCTTCCTCTCTCTAAACATTAATTTGAAAACATTTTTTACACATTTTCAGAGAGAGAGGAAGGGAGAGGGAGATAGAAACATTGATGTGACAGAGAAGCATTGATTGGCTGCCTCCTGCACGCCCCGTACTGGGGATCAAACCTGCAACCTGGCACGTGCCCTGACCGGGAATCGAACCAGGACCTCTCAGTCCATGGGACGACGCCCAGCCCACTGAGCCACATAGCCCGGGATCTAAAAATTAATTAAAAACAAAAAACGGGTGATGAGGTAATTCTGTTACAAAGCGGCCCGACCCCCTTGAAGAGACGTCGGGGAGAGCAGCGTCCCCTGTGCCCCTCCTACAACACTGTCTTCTCTTCACACCTCCCCAGTGTCCTTCCACAAAACTGACCTGCTCAGTGTTTCTCCTTGTTTCCAAAACAGCGAGCAACTCAGATCCCCGGGAGGGTTTGCACGACTGCGGCGGGCGTGTCCTGGGGTCTGAGCCCACGCCGCGAGCCCCTTGGCAGGTGTCCGTGCCCCCGCAGGTACAGGGAAGACCTACACCATGCTGGGCATGGACACAGAGCCCGGCATCTACCTGCAGACCCTCACGGACCTCTTCCGGGCCATCGAGGACACCCGCGACCACATGGACTGCCGCGTGTCCATGTCTTACCTCGAGGTGAGCCTGCCTCAGTGGCCGTATCCGCTGAACGGGCGTGCTGCCCCCGGATGCCCACCGGCCTTTGCCAACGTCGCCCTCAGAGCACGGGGCTCCGTGGCACAGCCCCTGGACGGTGAGCCCTGCCCTTCTTTTCCACGGACGCTTCCCGCTTCTGTCTCGCGCAGATTTATAACGAAGTGATCCGGGACCTCCTGAACCCGTCCTCGGGGCTTCTGGACCTGCGGGAAGACGCCAGGGGCAGCATCCAGATTGCGGGCGTGACGGAGGTCTGCACCTCAAATGCCCAGGAGGTGAGGGTCCAGCGGCCACGCTCGCCAGAGGTCGCAAGGCCCTTCTCGTTCAAGCTCACCGCAGAGCCGCACGCAGCCCCGAGTTGTCCCTCAGCCGAGGGATGGTAACCCCCGCCGCCTGCCCTCCTGCCTGCGCAGGGTCCCTCCCAGACCCTGTCCCCCCCCCCACCAAGTTGCTCCCACGCTGAGGGCCCTGTCTTCTCTCTGCCCCAGGCTCTCCCCGGCCACTCACACCAGCACCGCCCTAGGGCTGGGCCCAGCTCAGAAGCTTTCCAGGGCTCCCGTGGCCCGGGACTCCTCAGCCCCGCCCCGTGGCCAGTGCTGGGGCCGCGCCCAGTGGGTTTGGGGGAGCTTCCCGCCTGTTCTGCAGCAGGGGCTGCATCTATCTGCCTTCGCTCCTGCCCGGGCTCAGCAAAGGCTGCCAGGCTGATTTGCACAGGTCTCTGAGATTCGGAGCTGCCCCTGGTGCGCTGGGGAGAGGGGTGACCCACCGGTGCCGTCTGCCCCGGGCGCAGGGCAGGGCAGGGCAGGGGACGCATCGGCGCTCGCCATTCCTCAGTGAATCGATTCACACCACAAACCAGAACCACACACGGCTTCCCCCGGAGGGATTCTGACATCAGCCAAGAGGTCCCCCAGGGGCCGGGCCCCACCCCTGCTCCCGGGCTCTGACGGCCGCCCCGCGGCTCTGTCCTCAGATCATGCAGCTCCTCGGCAGGGGTAACCGGCAACGCACGCAGGAGCCCACGGCCTCCAACAGGGCGTCTTCCCGCTCCCACGCGGTGCTCCAGGTCACCGTGCTCCAGCAGAGCCGCGGTGCAGACTCGGCGGAGGGCGTGCGCGTCGGAAGGCTGTTCATGGTGGACCTGGCGGGCTCGGAGCGGGCGTCCCAGGTGCCACCCTCTGACCTGCCCCTGCCCCTGCCCCTTTACCCCTGGGCACTGTCACCTGTCCTGTAGTCTGTGAACGGGACCCCACCATGCCCGTCCAACAGTACCTTCAGCACCCAAAACGGTGCCCGGCCCAGAAAAGGTGCCCCCTAAACGCTGGCTGAGTGAATGAACCTTCAGCAGACACTGAGTGGAGGCCCCCCTGGGTCTGAGGCCCAGACCGCCCTCAGAGCACAGGGCCTCGGGGGTCGGGGGCGACAGATTCTGAGCAGAGAGCTGCCGCACGGGGGGCTGTGGTTTGCGGTGTGGGGTCTGCAGGGGGCAGTGGGGGCCCGGAGGAGGGTGGTGCTGGTGGGGTCTCCGGGCTGAGCCTGAGGTGGCTGCCAGGGATCCAGTGTGTAAGGAAGCACGTGCCAGGTGGGGGGCAGTGTGCCTGTTGGGGGACGGCGGGCAGTTCGCTGAGGCTTGACACCCTCTGAAACGCTGCCTGCCGGCCCCCAAGCCCTGACGCACCTGTCACACCTTGGCCACACCTGTCACAGGGTCGGGGCTGTGCTCACTGTCTGTTGCCCTTGTGGCCTGAGCTTTTTCTGAGGGTGGGACCCAGCCCAGGGCCAGGGCTGGCGGACGGAGGTGGTGTGAGAATAAGTCTCCAGGAACGACACTCTGTTCGTCCGTCTGCCGAGCACTTAGAACTCCTGATCCACCTGGTCCCCAACGTGCGTAGGGGTACGGTGGGCAGCCTGGAGCCTGCTCTTCACACGCAGGGCCAGACCCCGAGGCGTGGCCAAGCAGGGAGGTGTGGAATGCTGGGTCCGTGTCCGCCGCCCTGTGCCACCTGGTCTGTGCCGGTGATCACAGAGTTACCCGCACCCACCCGCCTGCCCGCCCGGGCCCTGCCCTTGGTGGGGGCTGCTGACACGGGCCGGGCAGGCCCAGAATCAGACCACTGCACCCCTTTCGGTGGCTGCCTGGGGCTCCCGCGGCATTCTGCGGTGTATGCCACCGCCGGGTCCAAGCACCCGGCACGCTGTGGCCCTGGACCTCAGTCCCCTCCCCTCCAGCCTGGCCTCTCCCCACTCAGACCCAGAACCGCGGCAAACGGATGCAGGAGGGCGCACACATCAACCGCTCACTGCTGGCGCTGGGCAACTGCATCAACGCGCTCAGCGAGAAGGGTGGCAGCCGCTCGCACTACGTGAACTTCAGGGACAGCAAGCTCACGCGCCTGCTGAAGGTACGAGCTGCAGGCCGGGGTGTGTGTGTGTGCGTTCACACGTGTGCATGGTGTGCGTGTGTGCATGTGTGCATGAGTATGTGTGCATGGGGTGTATGTGCACATGTGCATGGTGTGTATGCACATGTGTGCATGGGTGTGTGTGCACGTGTGCATGAGTATATGTGCATGGTGTGTGTGCATGTGTATGTGTGCATGGTGTGTGTGCACGTGTATGTGTGCATGGTGTGTGTGCACACGTGTGCATGGTGTGCGTGTGTGCATGTGTGCATGTGTGCATGGGGTGTGTGTGCACGTGTGCATGGTGTGCGTGTGTGCGTGTGTGCATGTGTGCATGAGTATGTGTGCACACGTGTGCATGGTGTGCGTGTGTGCATGTGTGCATGTGTGCATGAGTATGTGCGCATGGGGTGTGTGTGCACGTTTGCATGGTGTGTATGTGCACGTGTGCATGGGTGTGTGTGCATTTGTGCATGAGTATGTGTGCATGGTGTGTGTGTGCACGTGTGCATGGGTGCATGGTGTGTGTGTGCACATGTGCATGAGTATGTGTGCATGGGTGCATGGTGTGTGTGCACATGTGCATGAGTATGTGTGCACACGTGTGCATGACTGTGAGCACATGTGCTCACATATTTGTGTGTGCAGGTGCATGTTCACATGTTTGTGTGCTCACGAGTCTGTGCAGGCATATGTGTGCTCACAAGTTTGTGTGAATGTCTGTTCACATGTTTGTATGCGCACATGTTTTTGTGTGTGGGTATGAGTGTGTGCCTATTTGCACATGGGTGTGTGCGCATGTGTGTGCACGCGCGTGTTTCTGCCACAGCTGATTGCATCTTTCGGGACTCACCTGCCAGGAGAGAGGCCCCACCCTGGGTCCAAGGACCCTTCCAGGAACCCGAAAGGCATGAAAACACAGTAAAACCATCTCTAGTCACTGCCCGACTGCCCCACCACCCCTCTGAGTATGCCACGGCCCACGCTTGCATACCTCCAGGGACAGGGAGCTCATTGCCTCGTGGAGGCTGCCTGTCATATTGTGGCCCGTCTGACTGAGAAGATTCCCCTTTCACTGAGCGGGACACTGTCCCCTCTGTCCTACAGCAGGGCGGGCTACACATAACAAAGAGGCAAAGCCAAAAGGACATCCCTGGTTTAATCTGCTCGCACTGGAGTGGAAGTCAGATGGGGTGGGCTGGGCACCGGTCCCACCTCTCCTGGGCTCACATCCCCGAGCACTGACCTGGTCTCAGCAGCAGCTGCTCTTCTCAGGGTTAGGAGCAGGAACCTCAGGGGGCTGGAGCAGATGGGCCTGGCATGGGTAGGCATGGAGAGCACCACTGGGCAGGAGGGGCCTGTTCCCATCACCCCCAGCTGTGCCCCCTGGCAGGATGCCCTGGGCGGGAACAGCTGGACGGTGATGATTGCCCACATCAGCCCGGCCAGCACGTCCTTCGAGGAGTCGAGGACCACCCTGCTGTATGCGGACAGAGCCAAGAACATCAAGACCAGGGTGAGCCGTCCGCCGCCTCACGCACACACTCCCGCAGGCTCTCGCTCCCTCCGGAGGCTCTGGGGGAGGGTCCTCCTTCCCCTCCAGCTTCAGTGGCTCCTGGGGAGCCTGGGCTGTGGCCACGCCCTCGGGCTCTGTGCTGACATCATAGCCCCCCCCTCGCTCTCTGTGTGTGTCTCCGATGAGAATGCTGGCGTTGAACTCGGGGCCTTCCCGATCCCTGATTCCTAATCCAGAATGTCCTCATCTCAAGTTCCTCCATTTCATTTGCAAAGACCCGTTTCCAGATCAGGGCACCTTCCCAGGGTTCGGGGTGTTGGGACCTGGACTGACCTCTGTGCCCGGCGGGCTGTGGGTTCTCTCAGCCCTCTCCCCGGGAGGCGGGTCCTAGGCCTTCCATGTCCCACACCAGGCAGCTGAGAGAGAAGGCGTCTGCCACCCTCCGCAGGGGGAGCAGAGTGGCCCGAGTCCGCGCCTGGACCGCTGTGCTAGTCTGTGCTGCCCAAGGGTCAGGGAGACACACGGTCGCAGAGTTCCCGGGGACTGTCAGCCTGCCACAGACCTGTTGTGGGCGCCGTCCACGGCCTGCGGTGAGCGCCCCGTGTCCGGCACTGAGCGGGGTGCAGTGGCGAAGTCACACCCGGGACGGGGCTGTGCTCTCGCCCTCACTGTGCTGGCACTGCGGGGTCCAGGTAGGCAGCGGGAACTCACACGGACAAGTGTGCCACTTCCACCGTGGTACGTGCCTGAAACCTGGGCCACGGGCTCTCCAGGAAGGAACAGCGGAAAAGGCAGAACCTCGGGACCCTCTGCTGCGGAGCCTGGGCCAGGCTGGGAGGCCCAGCCCTGAACAATGACGAGGGCCGACTCAGGGCCACCGCGCGTGCCCGTGACCTGCCACTCAGCCTCCAAGTTGGCCACAGACGCACAGCCCGTGCCTCCGGGAGGGGTCTCTGGAAAGAGACACCAGGACACGCAGACTCTGCCGCTGCAGAGGGCCACCCACCTGCAGGAGTGTGGTGGGATGAGGAGAGCAAGCTGAAGACTAGCAGCTACGTGAGAACAACCTACGTGAAAACCCAAAGCCGAACCTACAAGCAAAGAACTCCCCTTGTCCCTGGGAACAGACATCTGCACACACCGCGCAGAGAGGCCTGGACGGACACACGTCCGCACCATAGCGGCCTTTTAGAACCTTGAGGGATTGTTTTAACTTTTATTTTTTTATCCTCACCAGAGGACACTTTTCCATTTATCTTCAGATAGAGTGGGAGGGAGGGGGAGAGAGAGATCAATGTGAGAGAGACACATTGATTGGCTGCCTCCCACACAACCCTGACCAGGGCTGGGGACGGAACCGCAACCCAGGTACGTGCCCTTGACCAGAATTGAACCCCAGACTCTTCTGTCTGAGGGCTGACGCTCTAACTGCTGAGCCAAACTGGCTGGGGCTGTTTTAATGTTTTTATTGTGGCCAAACGTGCATCACAAGAATGTATTGTCTTTTTTTTTTTATCTTTTTTTTTTATCCTCACCCGAGGACATTTTTCGATATTTTGTTCAGATAGAGTGGGAGGGGGAGAGAGAGAGAGAGAGAGAGAGAGAGAGAGAGAGAGAGAGAGAGAGAGAAACATCGACGTGAAAGAGACACATCGAGTGATTGCCACCCACACGACCCAACCAGGGCTGGGGACAAACTGCAACCGAGGCACGTGCCCTTAGCGGGAACCAAACCTGGGTCTCTCCGGACCGCAGGCCGAAGCTCTAACCGCTGAGCCTAACCAGCCAGGGCAGAATGTATCGTCTTAACCACATCCAGCTCAGGGACATTAAGCGAAGCACATTGTCGTACGGCTGTCACCCCCGTCACCCCCAGGACTGTCCATCCTCCCAGACTGAGGCTCCGTCCCCACGAAATGCTCACCCCCCACCCCTGCCCCTGCACCCACACTCTCCTTCCTGTCTCTGTGAGTCGGACCCCTCCTCGTGCTCAGGAGTGGAATCCACAGTGTTGGTCCTTCTGTGTCTGGCTGATTTCACTCAGCGAACAGCCCTCCGGGTCCTTCCATGTTTGATGTGTCGGGATTTTCTTTTTTTAAGGCCGAGTAGCACTGATTCGAATTTTAATAACACGACTGTGTGTTTCTGGCATGAATACCGGCTGTTAAAACGCTTGCTTCGTGGGGCTGCCCCCGGCCCTGACCTTGGTGCGTCCTGCCCCCCAGGTCAAACGCAACCTGCTGAACGTGTCCTGCCCCATGGACCAGTACACGGACGTCATAGCCGACCTGCGCGGGCAGATCGAGCACCTCAGGTCCAGAATCGACAGGCAGGACCGGACGGGAAGCGAACCCGGCCTGCGGGATCCCCCAGGTAGGGCCTGGCGCAGACCTGGTGCCCCGCAGTGGTGCCGCCCTGGGTGGCGATGGTGCGGTGAGTCCGGGGAGCAGAGGGTGCTGCTGTGCTGGGAATGAGGCCGAGACGTGGACCGGGCCCGTTTGTCCTAAGCGGGAGGGGTGGCCCCCAAGAGTGTGAGGAGAGGAGACGTGCTGGGAGCCACCTGAGGCTCGAGGTCCTGGGCAGGGGAGACCACCCAGAGGCACCGTGTTCGTCTTCAGTCTGTCATGGGAAGGTGGAGGGTTGTCCTAGTCTCTGTTCTGTCTGGAGAGCGTGACAGGCGTTGAGGGAGGAGCCCAGGGGTGACCACGGTGGTCGACGGCAGCCGCCACACCAAGGGCCTGAGAAACGGGTTTTGCTCTGGGGACCTGCAGGCACTGATGGGGGAGAAAGAACAGCCCAGCAAACCCTCCCGGGGCCACTCCAGCTCCTCCCCGTCCTCCCCCACGCCCGTCCTGTCACCCAGAGGCCAACTCCTGATGTCCCATCATCCGTTCCTACAAATGTCAGCAGTCCCCATGAAACAGACTCCGCGAAAACATGAGTCTCATTTCTACACCTAAAAAATATCAACGGCCAGCTGTTCGTGCGAACACAGTCAGGGATCAGAAATGCCCAGGCTGGAGGGCTGCAGGGAGCCAGGGATGGACCTCGGGCTGACTGTGCGGTGGGGTGTGGCCAGCGGGGAGCAGCTCTCCAGAGACAGGGCTCAGGGAACAAGGTCCTTGGAGTGTCTGTAGGATTTTACAGAGACACATGAGCCATGGTGGGGAGAAACTTGGAGCCAGGGATGATCACTGTCCCTGAATAAGGGGTGTGGCCACTGCATGGAGGTGGCACTGGTGATGGGGTCTGATGACAGGTCCTCAAAGGAGCCGGGAGGGGACCTGGGAGACAATAATGCCTAGGAGGAGGACAGTGGTCCGAGCGCGTGGCTGCCCTACCCCTGTGGCTGTCAGTGTCCAGCTGTTGAGATTAATGGACGCCCACCGCAGTGGAAGTCTAAGGTGTGCACAGCGTGTCCATCCACGCAGCTTTCGTGACGTGAGCACCTCTGCAAGGCTCGCTAACAGCCTTCTCTGGAAGTTATCATTTTTTTTTTTTATCCTCACCCGAGGACATTTTTCCATTTTTTGTTTAGGTAGAGTGGGAGGGAGAGAGAGAGAGAGAGAGAGAGAAACATTGATGTGAAAGGGACACATCGAGTGGCTGCCACCCGCACGACCGACCAGGGCCGGGGACAAACTGCAACCGACGTACGTGCCCTTAATGGGAACCAAACCCGGGTCTCTCAGGACCGCAGGCCGATGCTCTAACCGCTGAGCCAAACCGGCCAGGGCGGAAGTTATCATTTTTGTGGTGAAAACATTCAAGAGCCGCCCCGCCTGCCCCCCCCCCCCCCCCAGCACACAGCCAGGTGTGCACCTGCTGTGCACCTGTCCCGGACCTACTGTCCGTGGAAGCTCCTGCCCTCGGGCCAGCATCTCCACGCGCCCCACCCCTCGGGCCCTGGCGCCACCGCCTGCTCTGTTTCCATGAATTCAGCCTTTTAAGGTTCCACAGGAAGTGAGGTCACGGTATTTGTCTGTGTCTGACTTACCCCGGCCGCGTAACGCCCTGCGGGTCCATGCAGGTGGTCACGATTGCAGGCTTCTTTCTCTCCCAGGCTGAACAGTGCTCCACCCCACGGAGCACACAGTCTATATTCCCTCAGAGCCGTTCCGTATCTATCCCGTCATCCTACACGGACACTTGGCTGTTTCCATTCCTGGCTGCTGGGAACAATGTTGCCCTGAGCCTGGGTGCAGGGACCTCCTGAGACGGTGATTTTATTCCCTTTGGCTGTGTGCCCAGAGGGGGATTGCTAGATATTACGGCAGTTCTGGGTTACATTTTTTTTTTTTTTTTTTTAATCCTCACTCGAGGACATTTTTCCTTTTTTGTTCTGGTAGAGTGGGAGGGGAGACAGGAACAGAGAGAGAGAGAGAGAGAGAGAGAAACATCGACGTGAAAGGGACACATCGAGTGGCTGCCACCCGCACGACCAACCAGGGCCGGGGACAAACTGCAACCGAGGTACGTGCCCCTAGCGGGAACCGAACCCGGGTCTCTCCGGACCGCAGGCCAACGCTCTAACCGCTGAGCCAAACTGGCCAGGGCTGGTTTACATTTTTTAAAGAATCTCCATACTGCCCTGGCCGGTTTGGCTCAGCGGTAGAGCGGCGGCGCGCAGACCAATGAGTTGCGGGTTCGCTTCCAGCCAAGGGCACGTACCTCGGATGTGGTTTGTCCTTGGCCTTGGTCGGGTCGTGCAGGAGGCAACCAGTTGATGTGTCCCTCTCACGTCGTTGATGTTTCTCTCTCTTTGTCTCCTTCTCTCTCTCTCTCCCTCCCCCTCTGTCTGAAGATAAATAGAAAATTATCCTCGAGTGAGGATTAAAAAAAAAAAGAATCTTCATACCGTTTTCCACTGTGGCTGCACCCACTGACATTCCCACCAGCAGTGCACAGACTTCCCTGACTCCAGGTCCTGGCCAGCGTCCGTCATCGCTCGTCTTTTTGATACCAGCCGGTCTGACCGGTGTGGGTGGTAGCTCGGTGCAGTTTTGATTTGCATTTCCCTGATGAGTGGTTCCCAGCTCCTCTGCGTGTACCTGCTGGCCAGTCCATGTCTTCTTTGGGAAGATGTCTCTTCGGGTCCTTTGCCCATTTTTTTTTTACATTGGATTATTTGGTTTTACTTTTTTTTTTTTTTTTTAACCTCACCCGAGGACATTTTTCCATTTTTTGTTCAGATAGAGTGGGAAGGAGGGAGAGAGAGGGGGAGAGAGAGAAACATCGACGTGAAAGGGACACATCGAGTGGCTGCCACCCGCACGACCAACCAGGGCTGGGGACAAACTGCAACCGAGGTACATGCCCTTAGCAGGAACCGAACCGCAGTCTCTCTGGAACACAGGCCGACGCTCCAACCGCTGAGCCAAACCGGCCAGGGCTACTTTTACTATTCAGTGGTATGAGTTCCTTGTATATTTTGGATATTAACCCCTTAGCAGATACATGGTTTGCAAATATTTTCTCCTATCCGTCCATCATTCACCTGTCCATCCGTCCACCCGCCACCGTCCATCCGTCATCCCTCCATCCTCACACCCACATGTGTGTACCAGCGCTGGCTTGGGCCCGACCTCCTTTGGTGGGCAAGCATGGCGTTCAGCCCTGCTCCTGGACAGCTGGCCCTCTTGCTGCCCACAGTCACGATGCCCGCCGCGGGCACAGAGGAGGACAGCCACCTGCGGATGGACAGGCTCCGTGCCCAGCTGGTGGGGACCTTCCAGGAGCAGCAGGAGGCAGGCCGCGGCCTGGTGGCGCTGGAGCACACCAGCGTGGAGCTGCACGTCGACATGTCCCGCCTCCTGCTGGCCATCGCCCAGTGAGTGTGTCCCCGTGCCTGCCCAGGGCCTCAGCACCACCGGCCCCGTGGGGCAGGGAGGCCGAGGAGGACCTGCGGGGTCGCTGGCAGGAACTTGTTTTCTGTTGTTGTCCGGCCTCTACTGCCTGCAGGTCCCCACGGGGGACTTTAGCCAAGGCTCCCTCTCTTCCCAGGCGGGACCTGGCCCGATGCCTCCGCTCCCCTCCTGCCCCGTCTCCAGGCTGGAGCAGGTGGAGAAGGCGTCCAGGCCCCGTGGGTCCCTCACAGGCTGGGGTCCACCCCGTGTGACAGGAGGATCTGAGGCTCGGAGGGGCTGGGGGCTGGCCCGAAGCGTGTCCACGGGCAGTATGGCCGGTCCATCCTACAGTGACCAGGCTGACCCCAGGTGGGGCTGACCATGTAGTTTGTCATCCGGACAGGGACACGTGGACACCGGGGGTCACCTCACTGCCCTGGACAAGCTGGATGCATGGCTACCCCGTGTACGCTGTGATCCCATCTCTTCTCCTGTCCTCCTCCTCCTTTCTGTCCATTTGCTCAATCATACAAGCTGCCTGCATCAGGGGTTCCTAACACAGGCCGCTGTCCCGCCTGTTTCCAGCCCCGCGCCCTGGCCCTTCCTCGGCTGTCCGCGGGGTAGACTCCGCCTGGTGCCTTCGCAGGTCGGGCCCTGAGCTCCCGGGCCCCGGGGGGCACTGTTGTCATCCGCTTCCATCTGAGGGGTGCAGAGGGGTGGCCTTAGGACCGGGGTCGGGAGGCAGGCTGGCTACGGGACGCCACGCTGCACCGCGGGGAGCTTCCGCCGCACACTCGCCGCGTCTTCCCTGTCTCATTTTGGCTCATAACTTCTGTTTCTTACGAATGTAGCCGAGATCAGACAGCAGACCAGTTCTGCCCCATTTTCAAGTCCGCGCCTGTGAGCAGACCGGCTGGCGCCCACAGGGACTCCCAGCCTGGCCTGGCTTCCACGCTGACCCCGGCCCCTGTCACGACTGCAGCTGGGAGCAGGAGACCCACCACCGCGGCCAGGACAGGACGCCCGAGAGGGACACGCGGCAGGCGGTGGCCGACGCAGACGGGGACGAGGGCGAGTCCGCAGAGCCACGTGAGGTGGCCCTGGCCAGAGAGGAGGTCAACATGCTGCTGGCCAAGCAGCGGAAAACGGCGACCCTCAAGGTGAGGAGAGGGACCGAGAGGGACCGGGCAGGCCCCTGCGACACCCTGGTGTGGAGTTACTAACCTTTACTGAGCACCGGCTGCTTTCAACACGGCCCTTCTAGGGGCAGGCAGACGGGCTCAGAGAGTTGGAGAGTCCGTCCCAGTCCCCAGGGAGCAGGTGCAGAGCTGGGACCTGACGGGCTGGACTGCATATCCCTGTCCCTATGAGTTAGTGACAGCCACACCAGGGCTGCCGGGCAGGCGGCCTGGGGACAAGGAGCCAGTGGCCAGGGCAGTGGGCATGAGTGGCCTGTGGAGCCCACGAGACCTGTGCAGCCAGCTTCCCGGTGCTGCCACGGGCACCTCGCGCAGGCTCCCCGCTGGCTGCAGGCACGGGAGAGAGGGCGGGCCAGGGCCGGGGGAGCCCCGACTCCAGGCTGCCCCGGAGAGCGGCCGCCTTCACAGTCTTGCTTCCTGGGAAGAGCAGCTGTTTCTATGAGCTGTTGGAGATGCTGGGAGCAGGCCGGGGGAGCTGGCTGTGTCCCAGCCCCCGAGTTAAATGGGTGCAGGTGTATTTTCGGGGCAGGATGTCTGACGATGTCCTGCTGCTAAAAGCAGGAGGCGCTTCCTTCACTTAGCAGCTGTGCAGCCAGGCCAGCCGCCGGTTGGAGATTACGTGATCTCCGGTCAGAATCCTCCAGCATCTAAAAATAGGAAAGTGGCCCTGGCCGGTTTGGCTCAGCGGTTAGAGCGTCGGCCTGCGGTCCGGAGAGACCCGGGTTCAGTTCCCGCTAAGGGCACGTACTTCGGTTGCAGTTTGTCCCTGGCCCTGGTTGGTCGTGCGGTGGCAGCCACTCGATGTGTCCCTTTCACATTGACGTTTCTCTCTCTCTGTCTCTTCCTCTCTCTCCTCCCACTCTATCTGTACAAAAAATGGGAAAATGTCCTCGGGTGAGGATAAAAATAGGAAAGTGTCCTTGGCTCAGACCAGTGCAGGGCCTCGGCCGAGAGCGTGCCCTCCGGTGGGTGCTGAGAGGCAAGGTGGCCGGTGATCTGAGGCCTGTGCCCTGGACTGGGTCTCTCGCCAGGCGGGGCTGCAGCAGCGCCTGGCCAGCGCCGGGAGGAAGGCCTCGCAGCTGGAGAAGCTGCTGCACACACAGGCCATCAGCGAGGACCAGAGGGAGGTGCTGCGGCTGCTGCGCCGGGCCCACGAGCTGGAGCTGGAGAACGCGGCGCTGCAGGCCAGCCACCTGCGCAGGGACGGCCTGCTCTGCCAGCAAGACCTGGTCCTCCAGCGCTGCCACCAGCACCGGCTGCTGTGTGAGCAGATCGTCCGGGAGCAGCAGCAGCTCATGCAGGGTGAGGCCCGGGCTGAGCTTTGCCTGCTCACCTGTGCACCCAGGTTTCTCTGAGAGAGCTCAGCACCTGCTGGGACTATCTACATTCTGTGACCCGCTGCCCATCACCACAGCGGTCAGGCTGCGTGCACACCCCACCCCCGTGACACCTGGCAGGTGGTTGCCCCTTAGCTCCTGCCCACATACCTGTGTGTGTGCGTGTGTGTGCATGTCTGTGCCATGTGTGGAGCATCACAGAGCTGAAAGGAGCTTGTGTGTTCAGATCATCATCAGAGTTTAGAGTCAACACTTATTTAGACAGAATAGTGAGCTCTCCTTTGGGGAGACATCCTCTAGTTCCTTTCTTAATGGGGAAAAGGCACCTTGTTTTTTTTAAAAGCTATGACAACATTAAAGAATAATTTGGGCCCTGGCCGGTTTGGCTCAGCGGTTAGAGCGTCGACCTGCGGTCCTGAGAGACCCGGGTTCGGTTCCTGCTAAGGGCACGTACCTCGGTTGCAGTTTGTCCCCGGCCCTGGTCAGTCGTGAGGGTGGCAGCCACTCGATGTGTCCCTTTCACATCGATGTTCCTCTCTCTCTGTTCCTCTCTCTCCCTCCCACTCTACCTGAACAAAAAAAATGAAAAAATGTCCTTGGGTGAGGATAAAAAAAAAAAATATTTTGGAAAAAAAAACCACTTACAACCCAACCACCTTTCGAGTCTCTGCCTGTAGCAGTCGGACTTTGCCAAAGCTGTAATTACACTGTTCTAATGTCTTCCTTCACTATTTTATTTATTATTTTTTATCCTCACCTGAGGATATTTTTTCCCCATTTATCTCAGAGAGAGTGGGAGGGAGGGAGAGAGAGAGAAAGAGAGAAACATTGACCTGAAAGGGACACATCGACTGGTGGCCTCCTGCACAACCCCCACCAGGGCCAGGGACGAACTGCTACCAAGGCACATGCCCTTGGCCGGAATCAAACCTGTGGCTCTTTGGTCCTCGGGCCGACCCTCTAACCGCTGAGCCAAACTGGCCAGGGCTTATTTCACTATTTTAAAAACCGAGGTGACATGCACGTGACATTTCAACCCTGCTAAAGTGCACAGGTCCGTGGGCACCGTGTGTGTTGTGCAGCTCAGCTTGTCCTGACACCTCTCCACTGGTCCCTGAACCCGCCACCCAGCACTCACCCCCGCCCCTGGCGACACCCCCCTCCCTGTCTCTGCGGACCCGCCTGGTCTGGGCAGTTGGAAGACAAGCAGTCGGTCTGTGCCTGGTGTCTGTCCTCTGCGGTGCAGCACGTGATTTCAAGGCCCATCTGTGTTGTAGGCATCACACTCTGTCCCGGTGACCGCTGAATCACGCCATCGACATGGCACACGTCAGCTGGCGCTGTGCATGCTCATGTGCCGGTTGTCTGGCCACCTGTGTTCAGTCCTTTTGGGCGTACACCTAGGACGGGTTCTCTAAGCGCTCAGGTCCCTGAACTTGAGAAGTGTCCGTGTCACTTCATGACGAAAAGGCAGCACCTGAGCGCAGAGATGTGCACAGGAAGAGCAGCCTCCTCTGCAGGAACCTCTCACCTGGTGGGGATTCACCTGCAGGCTCCAAAGGGTGAGGCTGCCTGGGAAGCAGGGCGACGTGGCCCTGACCTGCCCCCTGGCTCCTGCAGACGGTGGCGTCCAGGTGCCCGCGGAGCTGGGCGAGCACCACAGTCTGTTCTCCCGGGAGCTGGGCGAGGGCTCGCTGGACCACCTGTGGCTGCTGCGCTCCGTGACGGCCAGCTCCCTGCGGGTGAGTCCCACGCAGGGTTGGCGCGTCCCTCCTGCCAGCCTGGGCTCCAGCCTAAGCGGAGGCCAGTGGGGATGCCGGCCCTGGAGACAGAAAGAGCGAACTTGGAAATTCTGGGAACGAGGCTGCAGGTGTGGGGAGTGAGGAGCCCTGGGGGCTGGGAATCACGGTGGGGGGGGCGGGCTCCTGGGTGCGCTGTGCTGGGTGTGCTGTGCTGGGTGCGCTGTGCTGGGTGCGCTGTGCTGGGTGTGCTGTGCTGGGTGTGCTATGCTGGGTGTGCTGTCCTGGGCGTGCTGTGCTGGGCGTGCTGTGCTGGGCGTGCTGTCCTGGGGTGCTGTGCTGGGTGCGCTGTCCTGGGTGCGCTGTGCTGGGTGCGCTGTGCTGGGCGTGCTGTGCTGGGCGTGCTATGCTGGGTGTGCTGTCCTGGGTGTGCTGTGCTGGGCGTGCTGTGCTGGGTGTGCTGTGCTGGGTGTGCTGTGCTGGGTGTGCTGTCCTGGGTGCGCTGTGCTGTGCGTGCTGTGCTGGGCGTGCTATGCTGGGTGTGCTGTCCTGGGTGTGCTGTGCTGGGCGTGCTGTGCTGGGTGCGCTGTGCTGGGTGTGCTGTCCTGGGTGCGCTGTGCTGGGTACGCTGTGCTGGGTGCGCTGTGCTGGGCGTGCTGTGCTGGGCGTGCTATGCTGGGTGTGCTGTCCTGGGTGTGCTGTGCTGGGCGTGCTGTGCTGGGTGTGCTGTGCTGGGTGTGCTATGCTGGGTGTGCTGTCCTGGGTGCGCTGTGCTGGGCGTGCTGTCCTGGGGTGCTGTGCTGGGTGTGCTGTCCTGGGGTGCTGTGCTGGGTGTGCTGTGCTGGGTGTGCTGTGCTGGGTGTGCTGTGCTGGATGTGCTATGCTGGGTGTGCTGTGCTGGGTGTGCTATGCTGGGTGTGCTGTCCTGGGCGCGCTGTGCTGGGCGTGCTGTGCTGGGCGTGCTGTGCTGGGCGTGCTGTCCTGGGGTGCTGTGCTGGGTACGCTGTGCTGGGTGCGCTGTGCTGGGTGCGCTGTGCTGGGTGCGCTGTCCTGGGTGCGCTGTGCTGGGTGCGCTGTGCTGGGTGCGCTGTCCTGGGTGTGCTGTCCTGGGTGCGCTGTGCTGGGTGCGCTGTCCTGGGTGCGCTGTGCTGGGTGCGCTGTGCTGGGTGTGCTGTCCTGGGCGCGCTGTGCTGGGCGTGCTGTGCTGGGCGTGCTGTGCTGGGCGTGCTGTCCTGGGGTGCTGTGCTGGGTACGCTGTGCTGGGTGCGCTGTGCTGGGTGCGCTGTGCTGGGTGCACTGTCCTGGGTGCGCTGTGCTGGGTGCGCTGTCCTGGGTGCGCTGTGCTGGGTGCGCTGTGCTGGGTGCGCTGTCCTGGGTGCGCTGTCCTGGGTGCGCTGTGCTGGGTGCGCTGTCCTGGGTGCGCTGTGCTGGGCGCGCTGTGCTGGGTGTGCTGTCCTGGGCGCGCTGTGCTGGGTGTGCTGTCCTGGGCGCGCTGTGCTGGGCGCGCTGTGCTGGGTGTGCTGTCCTGGGCGCGCTGTGCTGGGTGTGCTGTGCTGGGCGTGCTGTGCTGGGCGTGCTGTCCTGGGATGCTGTGCTGGGTACGCTGTGCTGGGTGCGCTGTGCTGGGTGCGCTGTGCTGGGTGCGCTGTCCTGGGTGCGCTGTGCTGGGTGCGCTGTGCTGGGTGCGCTGTCCTGGGTGTGCTGTGCTGGACGTGCTGTCCTGGGGTGCTGTGCTGGGTGCGCTGTCCTGGGTGCGCTGTGCTGGGTGCGCTGTCCTGGGTGTGCTGTGCTGGACGTGCTGTCCTGGGGTGCTGTGCTGGGTGCGCTGTCCTGGGTGCGCTGTCCTGGGTGCGCTGTGCTGGGTGCGCTGTGCTGGGTGTGCTGTCCTGGGTGTGCTGTGCTGGGTGCGCTGTGCTGGGTGCACTGTGCTGGGTGCGCTGTCCACACACAGGTCTGCAACCCTGCGCTGTTATAGGTAAAGGTGATGGGAAGGGGGCCCTTGTTACCTCTGGGCCGGGACGGAGAGGCGTCTTCCGCGTCCTCAGCAGCACACTGCACGTTCATCTCTCAGGCTGAGGGTTCTGCAGGGTCCTCCAGGCCCCTGTGTGAGGGTGGCGCCTGCCGCCCACACTGAGGACACCCTCGGGAGAGAGCCGGGCGGAGGGCTCCGGGTTCCTTATTCAGACAGACACCGTCATCACGAGCTCTACCCGGGCCCTCGACCAGGCCAAGTCCCCAGCCCACGGACCCTCTGCTTTGCCTTCTGGGAGAAGAAAGGAGACACCTCTGGCTCCGGCCAGCGGGGCAAGGGCAGTGCCCAGAAGTAGGGCCTGAGGGAGGGGCCCGGGGCTGGTAAAGCCACCGCCCTCACCCCGGGGCAGAGGCCCCGTCCCACACTCATCGTCTGCCTTGAGCGGGTGCAGCTGGACTTCAGCCCCAGCTGCTGCGGGACCGGCTCCTCGGGCCACTCTCCGGTCCCCTCGCCTCTGCTTTCCGCAGGCGCGTGACTGCTGGACGCTCCTCCCGCCTCCCCACGCGGTCCGTTCCCGCAGCGTGTGTCTGGGTCCCGGGGACACCCTCAGGTCTCCTCCACCAGAAGGACTCGTGGGCGCCCGAACGCTGTTACACCAGACAGACTGTCCCCACTGACCACTAGCCCACCCCAGCACCAGCCGCCTCTGTCGGTGCCTGACCCTGACTCCCAGGCCGCAGACGAGAGAATCGCACGGTGTGTGAACCTCCGTGTCGGGCCGTCCCGCTGGCGCAGGGTCCAGTCCATCCCTGCTGTAGCAGGAGCAGGGCCCTCCCTTTCTTGGCTGGGTGACATTCCATCGAGAGGACGGACCGTAGGTGCTTCTGCACGCGTCCACGCAGACACGGGCTGCTCCTCCCGCCGTGAGCGTGGGTGTGCACGCCTGAGGCTGCTTCCCGTCCTCTGGGCGCAGACCCAGGGCAGGACTGCTGGGCCACACGGTGACTGACGTTTTCCGGACCTGCTGGTTTTGGAGGGTGCTCTGACGACAAGTGTCTCCCCTGGGCCCCAGGGTCAAGGCCCACCCCGGGCCCGATGCTCGAGCCTGCACAGAACCTTTCTGTCTGGCGGCGGCTCGGTGGAAGGGGGCTCACGGGCTTTGGGGTGGCATCCTTCAGGGAGGAGGGCCTTCTCGCGGCCTGCAGGGCCCTCAGCCGGGTGGCACAGCCGCCGCGCCGGGTCCGTGCCTCCCTCAGCCCCTCTGTCTGCCCAGGACGGCTCTGCTGTGAACACACCTCTGCGGCCGGAGGAGCCCAGGGGAGACCAGCCGGACGACAGGAAGGACCGCCCGTGGGGTGCCCGGTTGGAGCTGCCTCCAGTGCAGCCGGAGACGGACAGGTAAGCGGGGCTCCAACGGCCCCTCAGCTTTGGGAATTCCCTAGAAGGACTCACAGAGCTCACGGGAGCCTTTGTACGTGGGGGTTTCGTTTCGCTGTAAAGCACAACGAAGGTTGGTGGAGGTCTGGACGGTCGGCCGGCGGGATGGCGCTCAGGAATGGGCTGAGCGCACCCACGAAGCCCGGTCTGCCCCAGCCTCTGCGTCAGCTTATACAGGGGGGGTCATCGCGCAGACACAGCTGATTACATCACTGGCCACGTGACTGGCCTGCTGGAGGAGGGGCTGGCCCGAACTTCTGCCCCTCACCCACTGTCTTTGGGGTGACCAGCCCCCATCCTGACAGAACCCGGTTGCCACCAGGAGTCAGCTCACTAGCATAACAGAGTCACCCTCTCACTTGGGGTGCTCCAAGGGTTTTGGAGGCGGTGCAAAGACCAGGCATATTCTTTGGGTGCAGCCTCCCCGGGAGGCCACCTCCGCTGCTGGCGTCCCCATAGCAGGTGTCAGGGCGTGCTGTGGTCACGGGGCCAGGAGTGCCCCTCTCCGAACGCAGTGGGGGGCAGGGCCACGTGTCCCCTGAGCCCTGCACACCTGGCCTGGACCCGTGGGCCTCCCCTGGCGGCACCACAGACGGAGGGCCGGAGACGCCCGTGTTACCTTCGCAGTGACGGTTACAAGTCATCGAAAGCCACACCCTCGAAGAGGCTGGGAAGGCGGGGTGCCCTGGTTGGGCCGCCCCTCCGCACCCCGCTCACACCGCCAGCGCAGGTGGGTGTGTGCAGGGCTGCGGGGCTGCGCTGGGCCAGGGTAGAGGCAGAGAAGCTTCCAGAAGGAGGGTTCTCTTTGAGCAGCCATTGTGATGGTTGTCGGCAGCTGGGTGACCGAGCCAAGGGCGCCCTCCCGGTGGGAGCCACCTGCCGGGCTAAGTGCTGAGGAGTTAGGGCCCCGGGGAGAAGCCTGTCAGGGACCGGGGGGTGGTGTACAAATGTCTGACCCCTCAGCCCTCAGCCCTCAGTGTGGGGCCCGGACGTCCCAGGCCAGGGACTGGCTTTCTCACAGGCCTTCCTGGGCCCTTGGCCCCCCAGAGCAGTCTTTCCCCACAAATAAACTACTTGCCCCGAGGCACCCACCCGGTGTCCGCCTCGGGGGCCCACCTGACCGCTGTGGGTCTCCTGCAGAAGCCGAGCTCCCTGAGGGTGAAGAGCCTGGTCTCCAGGCTGTGCTCCCCGGCCAGCCTGGAGCCGGGCCCCCCGAGGACGGTGGCGGGGGACCTCGAGGACATGGCCGCAAGCACCAGGGGCATCGCGCTCATCGCGGCCACCCGGCGCTCCAAGGTGCAGGACCCCGGGGGCGGCAGCAGCCGCTCCTTCCTCCACCTTCCGGAGGAGCTGGCCCTGGACTCCAGGGACCCGAGCCCGGCGGACAGCAGGTGGCCCCGTGCCAGCCCCGGCAGGGACTGCTCTGTGGAGGGAAAGGCCAGGAGGAAGCGGTCCCCTTGCTGCACCTGCGCGCAGCTGGTAGGTGGACACGGCCCAGGTGTCTGGTCGCAGGCCCAGGCAGACAGCAGAGGGCAGGTCGGACCCGCAGGGTCGTGGAGGAGGAGACAGGAGGGAGGAGAGAGCCAGGGCCTGGATGCACCCCCCCCACCACCCACGTGCTGTCTGGCTGTCACCACTTAGACGCGGAGTTTCTGATCCGGCTTCGCCTTCCCATTATTTCATACACTTCTTGTGCCTGCACAGCATTTGTGTCTGAACGTTCAAGAGGTACATCACCTGGTTCTTTCATATATGTGTTTTTATTGAATTTTTAGAGAGTGAGGAAGGGGGAGAGAGAGAGAGAGAGAGAGAAACATCAATGTGAGAAACTGATCAGCTGCCTCCTGCACGCCCCCCAGTGGGTCTGACTGGGAATTGAACCAGTGACCTCTTGGTGGATGTGTCGACACTCAACCACTGAACCACACCAGCCAAGGGTCAGTCTGTGTATTTATTTATTCATTGAATTAAAAATTTTTTTTCTTTATTGATTTTAGAGAGAGAGGAAGGGAGAGGGAGAGAGATAGAAACATTGATGAGAGAGAACATCGATCAGCTGCCTCCTGCACGCCCCCCACTGGGGATCGGGCCCACAACCTGGGCATGTGCCCTGACCGGGAATTGAACTGGCGACCTCTTGGTGCAGGGTCGACGCTCAGCCACTGAGCCTCACCAGCCGGGCAGTCTGTGTATTTAAATGTTTACCATCACAGGGGGTTTACACAAGACCCTCATCTGTGGGGGCGGCACTGAGAGGAAAAAGCAGTAGGGACAGACGGCCCTCTCCTCTGGGGTGTGGGGAGGACATGCGCGGTCGTTCACCGAGGCCCTGGACCCGCAGCGGCCTGGCGTGTGGCACATAGTAGCCGTCTAAGCAGGGCATGGGTTCAGCTCACGTGACTGACATTTCATTCCTTCCTGACCTGCTTCCTGTGCCCCTCAGACAACGGAGAGACCTCAGCCCCGCTCCCGCGAGCCTCTGGTGGAGAGACAGACGCCCCCTGCACCTCATCCGCTGTCCATGCCGTCGGGAAGGGGCCTCTTCCCTGCCGTCCCCACGGCCTACAGGATGAGACCCAGCCTGCACACAGGTGCGGGGTCAGGACAGACCAGCCCGCGGGCTTCTCTGCCGCTTTTGCGCTCCAGCCCCACCCCCACCCCGTCTCAAAGGTGAGTCTTCGGAAGAGTGACAGGTGTCTGCTCCTTGAGGGGAGTGTTTCGGGCTTCGGGGCAGTGACTGGCCAAGGCCGCCGGCTCATGGACAGGAGTGGTCACCGGTGATCAGCTTCGCTGCTGGCCTGCCCGCCCCCACCCCGGCCGAGGGTGAAATAATAACTGAAATTGTAAAATTGTGCACTACGGTTGGCTGCCTCTAACAGTCCATGCGCTTGGCCTCTGTGTCTTCCTCCAGTGTCAGAATCAGTTTGAATCCTGCCTCCTGGGGCGGCCACTATTACAGAAATCACACGCGCTCGCTGTGGGAACTTTGGAAGAGAGAGACAGTTATAAACAAGAAAGAAACTCTCGCAGGGCCACTCTCCCTCTGCTCCGGGGTGTACGGCCAGGCCTCGCTCAGGCCCGCACCCAGGGGTGCAGCAGCTGCCGGGGGGAGCCCGAGGTGCCCGTGGAGTGGCAGGTGGGGTGTGGTGGGCCACAGCGGGCTCAGGAGGCGACCGGTCGGTCACTGCTCAGCAGGAAGGCTCAAGTCTCCCTGGTCACCCTCCGCAGCCCCGCGCTGGAGCTCCGTTTCTGTCCCCCCAGAGATAAGCCCCTTGGAATGTGTCTGCCAGATGATGGAAAGGAATTTGCCCCCCTCCCCTCTGGTTGTGAAATTCCTCACCGGATAGAGGGGAAGCCGGGGCCTCCTGTGCAGCCCATCCCTTTCTGCTTGTCGATTCGCTCCCCAGAGCCGTGTCCAGAAACCCCGGCTGGGAGCTAGAGACACAGGAATACTTCCCTCCTACCTTCTCAGCTCTTCCAGCTAAAAGCCAGTTAACAGGGCAGATTGGCAGGAGGAAATCAAAGTGTAACACACGCGTGTGAGGAATCCACAGGCGTGATAGGTCTGCGGATGCTCCAGACAGGAGGCAGCATCGGGCACGCGGGACATCCCAGGGCGAAGGAGAGGGGCACCGGGGTGTATGCTTCAGAAATGAGCGTGGGCTGGTCACGGCGGCGGAGTGGAACACACTCTCACACACGCACACGCACATGCACACGCGCACACACACACACACACGCATACACGCACACACACACACGTGCACACACACGCACACAGCTGTGAGCTCTGAGCACACGGCACATGCAGACAAACCACGAGTGAGTCCCTGGCACCGTCTGATCTCAGTGCGGGTACAAGAGACATCAGCGCTTTCCAGAGAGAAGGGAGGGTCTGGAACTGACCCACAGCTGTCAGGAAGGGGCACAGGTCCTTACAGGAGCTGGCTGAGCCCGGCCCGGGGGCGCCGAGCCCTCCCTCCTGCGTGGGCTCCCAGGAGAGGCCTCTTCTCTCCACTGTGTCTGCAGAGGGTCCCCGTGGGGACAGGGTTCTTGCCTCTTCCCCTGTGCGCCCCCGTGATGGAACGGGCAGAGCACGGGAGGGTAGATGGTCCTTCGAGGTCTGTTGCCTCAGACAGTTCAGAGTGGTCAACCGAGGCTGGGAGCGCAGAAGCGAAGTGTCCGGTGACCGCGCACGCTGATGGCACCCACCGCCCTCCCGCCGCGGCTGGCTGCCTCTCTTTGGAGACGACGCATTTGTACTTGGCAGGTGCACAAAGAGGGCCTGCAGGCGGCCCGGGCGGACCTGGTATCGCCTTTCTCTGGCGGGGGGGCGGGCAGGTCTGGGTTGAAAACGGACCTTCCCAGGGAGCCCAGGAATCAGACACTGACAAGTGTGCTGAGGCCCCCGGGGAGGCCGCCCGGGCCCAGGGTCCTGGAGCTCCATCTGACCGCCTGTTGCAAGTTCAGGCAGTGGCGTTGCTGGTCCGCCATGGTGCCCGTGGGAAGTGAGCCACCAGCATCCCCCGCCTGCAGGCGCGTCCATCACCGTGGGCCAGGCGGCCGAGGGGTCCTGTGGACAGGCCTGGCGTTACTAGAGTGGCTGAGGCCCAGATAGGCTCAGGTGTGGGACTCCAGGCTGGGGAGGTCAAGTCCCGCAGGGCCCGGAAGGTGGCCCAGGGCATGGGCAGGCTGGCAGAGGGGCGGGAGCCCATGTGGGTCTGAACTGAGTCCGATGGGCAGCTTAGGCCAGGGCCAGGCACCCACCCTGGGCAGGGACCCGGCCAGTGACCCAGCTGGGCCTCTGGCTTCGCTGGAGTTGGCCGTGAGCAGACTGACCTCTCCCCACTCCCTGCAGGGTCTACAGCCAGTGGGGGCCGACGCCACAGCCCGCTGCCCCCCGGCAACCCTCACAGACACCACGGTGGCAGCGCCAAGGGGCCAAGAAGACCAAAGTGAGGATGGCGGCCGGAGAGCCGGGGAGGCCAGAGACGCTGGTCCCGGGCACAGGTGTCTGACTTGAGCTGGATTTGAGAGGCAGGGGCCCTGGCAGGGGCACTTTGGGGGCAGCCCGCCCCAGCTTCCTCCATACCAGAGGCCTCTCAGCAGCCACCTTCAGAAGCAGGGCCCCCCACGGGGTGTTAGAGCCCTTCCCAGGACCCTCGCAAGGAGCCTCGGGCGTGGTGATTCCCGACCGTGGGTGCTCATCCCGGCATCTCTGCACACCCTGCTTTCCGCGCCGGGAGACGCTCCGTGGGCCGGGACGCAGGCCGCTGGCTTCCCGCTCGGGCGCAGGCTGAGGAAGCCACCGGGGACACCGAGTGGCCACTGGCAAGCAGAGAATTTGTCTCTACCCCCTGTATTAGTTGGGACGCTCCAGAGAAACAGAAACAGTAGGGTGTGTGCATGAGTGTGTATGCACGCGCGTGTGCGCACGGAAGATGAGGAGAGAAGTTGACCTTAAGGAGCTGGTGCAGCGGCTGCGGGGCTGAGCCGAAGTCTGCGGGGCTGGAGACCCAGGGAAGCGTGGAGGCCACGGCCTGAGTCTGGGGCAGCATCCCCTCTTACCCGCAGACCACAGCCTCATCCTCCTCAGCCTTCAACTGATAGGACGAGGCCCACCACCCTGGAGGGGAATCCGCTTCACTCAAGGTCACTTACTGATGCCAGGGTCATCTCATCTAATACCCTCACAGCAACATCGAGGCCGGTGTTTGACCACGTATCTGGGTGCCATGGCCCGGACAAGATGACACATAAAACTAACCCTCACACCCCTTGTGTGGCCTTGGCCAGTCTGCAGAGTGACACTGGTCCCCACCCCGTGTGCACACAGGCTCCTGGAACGCCAGCATCAGGGGAGGGGGAGAACGCTCTGCCGTTCTCATGTTCTCACGACCTGCCCGCTCCCCACTGCGCTCTACCGGTCCTCTGGGTCCCCGGGGAGGGCGGGGCAGGGGGGAGCGTGGCTGCCTGCGGGGGGCAAGGCAGAGCCACGGGGAGGGGCCGGTTCTGACGGCACTCGCCTCCTGTAACTCCCGTCATGTCCTCCTTGGCATCGGGGGAAATGCAGGTTACAAGCCCTGGCTGGTTTGGCTCAGCGGTTAGAGCCTCAGCCTGCGGACCAGAGTCCCGGGTTCGATTCCGGTCAAGGGCAGGTGCCTCAGCTGCAGTTATTCCCTGGCCCTAGATGGGGTCGTGCAGATGGAAATCAGTCGATGTGTCTCTCTCATGTCGATGTTTCTCTCTCTCTCTCTCCCTCCCACTCTGTCTGAAGATAAATGTAAAAATATCCTCGGGTGAGGATTTAAAAAAAAATGCATTTACGGAAGCCTGGTGAGAACCTTGTTGGCACAGGTACGGATGTGCACACGGTTGTGTGTGTGCAGGCGCAGGGGGTGTGTGCACGCCTTCCCTTACGGGGCGCGTGGACCAGCTCTAGAAGGACACCCTGACACCGTCCCGTGGGGCTTTAGCGGCGGGAGAGGAGCGGGCGGGGCTGTCCCCCTTTTTGAACGATGTGGATGTTTACCATGTTCACGTTCGACCCCGTGTAAAACATCGATCATTTCAAAAGCAGCCACAGCTGTGTCATTGGCCGGTGTGGGCAGCGATCCTAGACCCGCCAACGGGAAGAAGAAGGTTCACAACAGGATGTGTGATCAGGGGTCCGTGACAACAGTGACACCGATGTATGCAGCCGCGGTCACACGGCTGGGACAGTTCCCAGGACACAGCGGAAATGGGGCTGGGCTTTGAAGTCAAAGCGGCTGCCTGGGGGGATGGGCTGAGCGGAAGCTGAATCCTTCTTCGAAAGGGTTCTCCCCAAGTGTCCAGAGCGGATGGGTCCCCAGGGAAAGCCGCTGGGGGTTCCGAGTCCCTTGTCAGGGCTGTGTGCGCCTGGGTGCGCACCTGTGCCTTGTCCGTGCCTGGGGGATCTGTGCGCCCGTCTGTGTGTGTCCGTGTGTGGTGTGTGCAGGTCTATCTGTGTGAATGGTCTGCCCTGCGTGGGGACGGCCACAGCCCTCCTGGCAGGCCCCCCAGCAGAAATGCTGCCACACAGCTCACGCTGCCCTCAGCACACAGGACCACCTCGCGCGGGGGTTGAAGCATTAAACAGATAAGGAAACTGAGGCACCGCCAAGGTCACACAGGCGGTGACGGCTCCAGCATCAGGGCCAGCTTCTGACCTCCCCTGAATGACCCACACCACCCTGCAGCAAGACCCGCCCTCGGAAACAGGCCCGCAGCAGAGGACCTGGCCAGGGCTGAGGGCGCCCAGCTGGGGAGGACTCAGGCTCCTGTCTCTTCGCAAAGACCAGGTGACTCTGCAGTCCCGGTGTCTCTTCTCTGTGCTCCGTTCTCCTATGCCACCGTGATCCCAGCACCCCGAGTTCTCAGAATGTCCCAGCTGCCTCACCAATGGCAGTTGACATTCCCTGGCCCAAGTTGCATTATTTCTATCCTTTTTCTGTTGCAATACTGGTTATGAAACCAGACATAGCTGTCCCCGGCAGCGGACATTGCAATACTTCCGACTGAAGCACAGGCCAGGCTGTGGTCAGCCCTGGGGAGGGGACAGGGGCCCGTGGCCCCTGAGGGGGGTCGGCAGCTGTGACCAAGGACATTACTGTGGGAAAGGCAGCCTGAGGGGGTCCACCAGCTTGAGGGAGTTCTGGGCCACGAAGAGGAGAAGGTGAAAGTCACAGTGCGGGGCACCACCAGGGCAGAGCTAGCCTGCTTCCCAATACCTCAGAGCAGGTGCCCTCCTGGTCAAGGGGTCACTGCAGTGTGACCTCCGGCTCTGGAGCCCCGAATCTGGCTTCTGGGCCAGATGCTGTCACAGCTGGGTGTGTGCCTTTGGCTGTGTGACCTTCGTTGTGCCTCTGCGGCCCTATCGGTAAGTGAGGAGGTACTGTGTAGCTATCTCAGAGAGGGAAGTGAAAATGTACCTGTGTTACTAATGCAAGATTTGCGTGTGTTTCCCTGGCCAGTTTGGCTCGGCGGTTAGAGCGTCGGCCTGCGGACCAGAGAGTCCCGGGTTTGGTTCCTGTTAAGGGCACGTACCTCGGTTGCAGTTTGTTCCCGACCCCGGTTGGGGTTGTGTGGGTGACAGCCACTCGATGTCTCTCTCTCTCTCTCTTCCCCCCTCTCTCCCTCCGGCTCTATCTGAAGAGAAATGCAAAAACGTCTTCAAGTGAGGATAAAAAACAAAAAAAAAGAATTACGTGTTTTTTTAATCGGGGTGAACCTGATATGCTAACACACCATTTACAGTGAACAGTTCAGGGGCAGTTAGCACACCCTCATCACCCAGCTGCTCCCCTTTCTTCCTCCAGATCCCCTCACTGCGGCCCTCGCTCCCCCTGAGCCTGTCCTGGTGCTCGAGCCTTGAGGACATCAACACGCCTTTGCCGAGCCTCCTGGGCGCCAGGAGCGGGGTTGGGGGGTGGGAAGGGGTTGGAGGGACTTGAAAATGCACAGCTTTCTCCATTCAGGCAAAGGGTCCAAGAAGTCTGGCTCTACTTAGACATTAGAATTTTGTTTCTTGTTCCCCTTCTTATTTGACCAGGGAACCCTTTTATTTTAGCAAGGGGCACCCCTAGCCCCTGCGCAGGCCGCCGTTTCAGGGGGAGTATGGGAACGGCTGGATGCGGGGCCACTGGGTAAACAATTTGCATCCCTTCTTCACAATCAGCAAAATCTCAGCTGGGGAAATTGCATTTAAAAATATTGTTTAATGGAGGTGTAATTTATATGTGACAAGGTTTACCCTTTCGAGTGCACAGGTTTATGAGTTTGGACACACCTGAAGACACGTAACCATCGCCACCCATTCAAGGTACAGAATGGTCGCGTCACCCCTAGTTTCCTCACTACCCTTGCCAGCCGACGCCCCCAACCCCAACCCCGCACCCGTCCTTTTCCAGTGGTGTCCACATGGGGTCACACAGTATCTCCTACTTGGAGTTCGGCCCCTGTCACTCAGCAGGGTGTTTTGCGCATGGGCAGTCTGTTCCGTTCATTGTTGAGACTGTTCCCGCGCGTGGACGCGCCACGGCTTGTGTGTTCATCTGCCCGCCAAGGGGTTTGGGTTGTTTCCAGTTTGGGGCCATTCTGAATAAAGCCACTAACAACACTCACGCACAGATTCTGTGCAAATGTAGGTCCCTTCGGTCAATACTGAGGAGCGGGTTTGCTGGATGCTATGTTGGGTTTATGTTTAACTTAACCAACCACTGGACTGCTGCCTTCCTACCAGCCACACAGGGAGCTCCCCTGCTCCGAGTCCTCCCCGCCCCTGGTGTTGTCAGGCTTGGAGAGTGTATTTTGATGCTTCTAATAGAGATCTGATAGAAAGTAATGTTTTAAAGGGTTTATTATATAATTTTTGATAAATATTGTTATAGGCTAAATTCTGTCTCCCTCAAAAAGAAAGAAAGAAAGAAAGAAAGAAAGAAAGAACTGTTGCCCTGGCCGGTTTGGCTCAGCGGTTAGAGTGTCGGCCTGTGGTCCAGAGAGACTCGGGTTTGGTTCCCGCTAAGGGCACGTGCCTCAGTTGCAGTTTGTCTCCGGCCCTGGTTGGGTTGTGTGGGTGGCAGCCAGTCGATGTGTCCCTTCACGTTGATGTTTCTCTCTCTCTCTCTCCCCCTCCCACTCTATCTGAACAAAAAATAAAAAAATGTCCTCGAGTGAGGATTAAAAAAAAAAAAGGAACTATTGGAGCCCTAGTATCTCAGAATGGGACCTTATTTGGACATAGGATCTTTACAGAGGAACTCAAGTTCAAGCGAGTTCGATGTGCCTGCTTTTTAAATATATATATATATATTATCATTGACAGTATTACAGGTGTCCCCAGTGTCCCCTGTTGCCCCCCTCCACCCAGCCCCTGCCCCACCCCAGCCTTCACCACACTATTGTCTGTGTCCATGGGCTATGCATATATGTATATAAGTTCTTTGGTTACTCTTTTCTCATTTTCCTCCCCCTTTCCCCTCTGAGACCTGTCCTAATATAACTATTTTTATAAAAAGGGTAACTTTGGACACAGACACACACAGAGGAAAGTTCATGTGAAGAGACACGGAGAAGACCACCAATAACAAGCCAAGGCCAGGGGCCTGGAACAGATTCTCTGTCCCACCGTCAGAAGGAACCCACCCTGCCCTCACCTTGACCTTGACCTTCCAGTCTCTAGACCGTGGAACTTGGTGACAGCGGCCCTGGCAAACACAGCAGACAGACCGGTGAGTCTGGAACCCTGCTCATAAAGTGGCATTATCTGTCTCCTACCCCCAGTTTAACAGCTAGAAGGGAACCGACACCTGGTACAGAGCTATAACGTGTCAGCGAGATACCCAGAGACGCACAGCCGAATTGTAAAGGACACTTTATTCACCGGTGGGCTGCGGGGGCTCTCCCCAGATCATAGCCCCGATTGTTCTTGCTCGTCCACTTTTATTTATTTATTTGTTGGCCTCACCCTAGGACATGTTTCCATTTTTTGTTCAGACAGAGTGGGAGGAAGAGAGAGGAAGAGAGAGAGAGAGAGAGAGAGAGAGAGAAACATCAACGTGAAAGGGACACATCGAGTGGCTGCCTCCCGCCCGACACAACCAGGGCCAGAGACAAACTGCAACCGAGGTACCTGCCCTTAGTGGGAACCGAACCTGGGTCTCTCTGGACCACAGGCTGATACTCTAACCGCTGAGCAACTTTTAAAGACAGAAGCCACCTTCCCTTTGGCTCCTCCTCAGCGAACTGGTACAATAGTGGGTGCAAAAGTGGTTGTTACAGTCTGGCTGGTATGGTTCAGTGATTGAGCATCAACCCATGCCAGTTCGATTCCCGGCCAGGACACATGCCCAGATTGTGGGCCTGACCCCCAGTGGGGGGGCATGTGGGAGGCAGCCAATCGATGTTCTTTCTCATGGATGTTTCCATCTCTCTCTCCCTTCCACTTCCTCTCTCTCTAAAAATCAATAAAGGAGCCCTGGCCGGTTTGGCTCATCGGTTAGAGTGTTGGCCTGCGGTCCAGAGGGACCCGGGTTCGGTTCCCGCTAAGGGCAGGTGCCTCAGTTGCAGTTTGTCCCCAGCCCTGGTTGGTCGTGTGGGTGGCAGCCACTCGATGTGTCCCTTTCACGTGGATGTTTCTCTCTCTCTCTTCCTCTCTCTCCCTCCCACTCTATCCAAACAAAAAATGGAAAAAAGTGTCCTCGAGTGGGGATAAAAAACAAAAAAAAAATCAATAAAGGAAAAAAAATAAAAAAAAATACATAGTTGTTCCAGAAGCCAAAATAAGCATTAGTCACTGGGCTCATGATTTTCAGTTCCTGATACTCAGAAACTGCAAGCCACGTCCCATTATGTAGGTCAACCATAACCTTAGGCCAAGTTCCTTTACCACCAGGAGTAACCAACCTATTATTGGAAAAATACCGAGGAAAGTCCACTGCCGGTCCACTGCCGGTCAAGATGGAGTCGTGTAGTGGCCTTAGCCGAGGGGCCCAGCCCAGGGCCCAGCTCATTAGGAGCGCTCCCCCTACAGCGCCTCCCTGCCTGCCAGACGCACCTCCTTCCAGGGCTGGGTGTGGGTGCGGCCTAGAGAGACGTAGGCCGGGCCGGGGAAGAGACTGGCCTTCGGGAGGTGAGCTGAGAAGGTGGCTGCTGGGGGGGGGGTGCAGGATATTGGGCCTGACTCCTTAATGCTGATGGGAGTAAAAACAAAGGAGAGGTTTGTGCGTGCCTTTTACTGTCGCCCCCATCAGAACCGAAGCTCCAGGAGGGCAGGGCGTCCTGTCCCCTCCCCGTCCAGTCTCCAGGGCCGCTGCGGGAACCCGCCGCGGGGGTGGACGTGGACGAAGACAGGCCCTCCTCCGTCAGAAGGCGGCCCGTCCACCGGGAGGGACACGAACCCGTCGCCGGTTGAAAACATTCTGTGCATTAAAACGTGCAGGTGGTAACTTCTCTGTCCTGCGCGCGGACACTGAGGACGACGGTCACCAGAGCACCTGGCCGAGCGCCCACAGGCACGTGGGTCTCGCCCAGGCCCTGCGAGGCGGGGACTGGAGCCGGCGGAGAGGCGGGTCCCCGCCCGGGCGGCCCAGCGAGCCCAGGCCCCGGCCGGGGCGCGAGCCGGTGCTCTGCACGCAGTCGGGGCTCGCGACCGGCCCGGCAGCCGCAGGCGCGGCGCACACGTGGGCCGGCAGCCCCGCACGCTCCCCGCAGCGCCCCGCGGGGTCCCGCTGGGGGCGGAGCCGACGCCGCGGCCTGCAGAACGGGATTGGCTGCTGGGGAGGGGGCGGGGCCCACCGAGGGTCGTAAATACGGCGCCACATGGCAGTGGCTGGGGAGGGCGGCGGTGGGGTGCGGAGGGCGCAGGCGCGTGGAGAGCGGGCGCCCCTCGGCCTCCTTGGTCCCAGCGCAGGTCGCGACTTCTCGCGAGAAGAGGAGCGGGAGGCGGGGCGGCGGCGCCGGGGGCGGGGCCGGCGGAGGGGCGGCCTCGGGAGGGTCCGCGGGTCGCGAGGTGGCGGCGGCGGCGGCGCAGGGTGAGGTGTAGGCGTGGGGGGCTCGGGGGACGCGGGGGGTGCGGGGGGCGCGGGGGGCGCGCGGGGCGCGGGGCGGGGTCCTGGCGGGCCGGGCGGGCCGGGCGGTCCCTGCACCCTCAGCCCGCCGGGCGGGTCCGGCGGCGCCCTGGCCGAGCCCCCGCGCCGGCCGCTGTGTGACCTTGGCCTGGCTCGCACCCTCTCTGGTCCGGCGTCCGCGGGGCCGGGGGAGGCAGCGGACGACGCGGGGAGGGAAGTCAGCCCTCGTTCCGAGCCCGGGGATGCCGCAGCGTGCGCCCTGTCCCCGCCCGGTCCCGCGGGTGGATGCGCGGCCCGGCTCCTGCGCGCCGTCCGGCGGCTCCGCGGCCCCCGCTCCGCCAACCGCAGGCCCGCGGCGCCACCGGCGACCCGGGGCCGGGCAGCGCCCGCCTCTGGCGCGGGAGGAAGCCGGGGCGCAGCCCCAACAGTAGGACCCGTATCTCCAGCTGGGCGCCGGGCCACCGGGACGTCGCCCGCAGACCTTGGCGCGCGCTGCGGTTCCGTCTGGCGCGCAGCACAACGGGCTGCAGTGTGTCCACGACGATTAAATTATTCACTTTATCACTGCGCGCCGGGCAGGCTCGGGACCGCGGGCCCGGCGGATGCAAATGCTTCCCGGGGGAGACGGTCCCCCACGTGTGGGGCCTCACCTGCCCCCACAGCGGGACGCGCGCGACCCTTCTCGGGGAGCGGGAGTCGGGGCTGGCGCCTGGGCGCAAAGCAGAGAAAACGGGGCGTCAGAAGCGGTGTGTGGAGGGCGCACAGCTGTGGCCGTCACCGCCTGCACAGAGTTGCAGATGTCCCGTGTGCTTGCAGATTAGTTGCCGGGACTTGAGGCCGATGTTGTGAGGCCGGCAGCCCAGTTCACCGTCACTCCGCGTGCTCCTGTTCATCGGTGCAGCAAAGGGGGGTTTCGGTCGTTTGCAAGATGCCAGGTTGGGCCAGGGGCCCGGGTTACCTGCCTAACAGGGCGACTGGAACTCACACCTAGGTTGGCCCTGTGCCCACAGAGAGCAGCCAAGCTCGTTTCTTGGTGTTGGAGAAGTTTTCCATGGTGAAGGTGTCGGAGGAATTGGGCCTCGCAGGAGGACGTTCCAGGAGGGGGCAGCAGGGCTGTGCAGGTGTGTGTGTGTGTGTGTGTGTGTGTGTGTGTGTGAGAATGGACCTTGCAGGGCAGTGGGTCCCTGTGTTAGTTGTGGGATGGGGTTTGAGGATTGGGGTGGAGGCTGAAAGGAGGTTTCTGCCTAGGAAGGAAGGGCCTTGGATGCTGGGCCAGGGCGAGGACTCGCACTCCTTTGGGGAGGAGTAGTCCAGGTTTGGGTGGTCTGAAAAGCAGCAGCGTTGAGAGTGAGGACCGGTCCTGTACCAGGAGGTGCAGGCAGCTGGTGCAGTCGTAGATGGTGTGGGGCCAGGACAGTGGCCAGGGAGTGGACAGTGGTGTTGGGTTGGAGAAGGGGGAAATAAACAGTCAGTGGTGCTCTGTCGGGTGGGGGAAGGGAAAGGAAAAAGGAATCAAGATTTAGTGGCTGAAGGACGGAGCTGGTAGCTATGGTGAGTTATGGTGTGGCAGGTTTGGACCCTGGATAGGCAAACACGCATTTGATTTTTAGACTCGTAGTATCTGTGGCATTGGTGGGCAGTCAGGGGTGAGGTGTGCTCTAGCAGAGTGTGTCCAAGGATGCCGTCCTGGGGACCACCAGCGTGGAAGGGACAGGTGGCGGGAGAGCAGCATATGCCGGATGGCTGACACTGGACATGGACTGGTTGTAATGACCACACTCACCACGGCTGTGGATGACTCTCTTCTAGAAAGGTCTCAAGGCTGACGGGACGGGCCATTCATGGGAAGGAGAATGGTTTTTTTTTTTTTTTCTTCCCCCTTATCGACATTTTCAGGGACCTTAGCGACTTCAGTGCCTTTTCGGCTGGTAAGGTGACGGACTCACTGTCACCAGCCTTCTGCAGAACACATTCAGGCAAGCAGATCCCTGGCTGCCTGAGGCTGGTTATTGGTGCTACTGAAACAAACCGGCTGGTTTATCCTCTTAAAAGAGCTTAGTCTTTAGTTTTTCTTTGTTAAAATTGTTTCTCTTTCTCTTCAGAAAGTAGCAGTGAACGTCTCACCTGCTTAGTGGGTGTGTGGCTACAGCCCCAGCTGGTGGTTCTCCAGGGATGTGCTAACAGATGGGCCTAACATAACTGACACAGTAACTCAATACTTCCTGCAATTAACCAAGAGGTGGGGTTTTCTGTAACCTCTGAGAGACCTAAGGAAGCACCACGCCCGTTTCCATGGGCGAGAGGATGCAGCTCTGCAGGCAGGGGAGGGTGCTGGGGCCCAGAGCTCTGTTGGGGCCCTTTCCCTCCAGGGGGGGGGGAGGAGTTAGTGTCTTTGAGCAGCCCAAGAGAAAAGCCCTAAAGCACTGACATCAGGGTGCCCCCAGTCAGAAGGCCCAGCTGGATCACTCACTAATGAAGCTCATAATTACTGACCCCTCCCAGGGTTCAAAGCTTCCAAGTTCTTGTAATCCCCCACCCCTTAAATAGAAACAGATAACCAGGGACCTGTGAAGAAACCTTCTGATTTGGAAGATGGGGACCAAATGGGAAAAATATCCTCAGATGAGACTAACCCAAAAAAAAAGAAGAAGAGAAAAATAAAA